CTCTTTATTTGATGTTCATGCTCTTCATATTTCGAGTGGAATTAGTTTATTCTTAATCCTATATTCTGCAGAGGGAATTGAAAGACAGTCCACTGAAAACTTTTGTTGGGCTTCCACCCATTGTAGCTATGGGTCACCTTTTTAAGCAAACCGGAAAACACCATATTTTTCATACACCAAACGATCTTGAATAAAACCAAAAGACGAAGTTAAAACTAAACACCAACAAACTAAACGAAGATATGTTATTGATGCAATATTAATTCCGAATTCAGTTAGTATATGATCATTGATTGAACATGACCAGGATGTCAGGTTCGAATACCTGTTTGTTACGTTTCACTGTACATTCGGTCAAAAGCGTAAATCGGAAAGTTTGAAAGTGAATCAAAAACCGTGAGAACTTTAAATAACATCTGACGTTTAAGGTCCAGTTTCCTTAATTGCCAATCAAAGTTCCGTGTAAGAATGGGGGAGTAAGGATATGTTATCAGATACTGTAAGATGGTTCACAACCATCCTTGTAATAATAATAATAATAATAATAATATATGTCTGCATGAGCAGGTGCACACCACTTTTACGAGCATGATCTATAATTTACAACATTTGTTGGCGCACAGCACGCTTCCCAACTTATTAAGTTTATAGTTGTCAGGAAGTAGACACGTAGAGCGCTTGCTGTAAACCATGACCTTGGGGAGACGAGTACGTTAAGTTTGTTCCAGATGTCAGAAGTTCTATAGCTGTGCTATCAGATCAAGATTCTGAAGAAAAAAATAAGGGGAACAAAAGGCAAGCAAGGCACTTAGATATGAATGCCAAACGTTGCTTAACATTTTGTATTAGAACAGACAGGGGTATAATAAATTAGGTTAAATTCATATTATCTCTTGTTAGAGTGAAATGAAGTCAAAGGCTCCATATAAGAGAATGTAGTGATAAAGAACAATGAGTTGTGATGTTTAACAAGTTGGAGTAAGCTCACATGAAGGAACGGAAGTCAAGGTTGGCACAAGAAAAGCGGTTTATTAGAAGAGAGTGTGCATATAGAGGGTGAAGTGTTAAGAATACAAATAACTATTTCTTTTATTGTTTGATTTTTTCTTTCTTTTTTTGCCCATCCGATGCCAGCCACACAGTCCTAGTGTGAAAGTCCGAGTTGGCATGTTATAGGTTGTCTTAATAGAATAGCTAATCCAGCATAAAATTGGAAACATGAGTCTGAGTGGTGAGCGTAGGAAGACAATGTATATCACAGATTGATTGGCTTATTCTCAGTCATAAAGGGCCTGGTACATACAAAATGTTCTGTCCCACAAACACAGGTGGATTGAAGTCATCGCTTGCTGGTCAGTAACTCCACCCTCCCTCCTTTTGTGATATTAGGCCCACTCAAGCTTATTTTCCGATATATGTCATACCTCACACAATTCTCTGTGTTCATATCCTGTTGGAAAACACTATTTCTATAAGTACTATTTTACAAGCTTATCAGGCAGTTATAAGTTATGGACTGTGGGTAAGGCATCGATGCAGTGCTTTAATTGACTATAGTGTAAAGTAGTTTGTCAACCAGAGTATAGGCATTAAGAAGGGTATAATGTGGGATAGTTGTTTATTAAAGCAGGCGGAAAAGTAAAGAAGTATATGAGTTGTAGACAAGGTAACAAAGTACATATCCTTGCTCCTTCATTCTTACACGGAACTTTGATTGGCAATTAAGGAAACTGGACCTTAAAAGTCAGATATTAGTTAAAGTTCTCACGGTTTTTGATTCACTTTCAAACTTTCCGATTTACGCTTTTGACCGAATGTACAGTGAAACGTAACAAACAGGTATTTGAACCTGACATCATTCAGCAACTTGCTTTTGTGTGGATGTAATGAGTACGGGTAGTCTGATAAAGGAGAAAATTATTCTTCCATACTTTTTGGAACTCTTTTAGCACGCTATCAAAGTCATCCCAGCATGCGAAACGCTTGTTCAGTATTATACTTTGAAAAGCATCGCTAAGGTAGTCTGAAATGTCAGTTGAGCATGAAGCACTACAAACAGAAATCATTAATTATAAAAAAGTATTCCTTGAAACAATAATACTACAAATATTTAAGATTAACCGGTGACTTTACATTTCGTTGAGGTTTACTACAGCAGCTGGGATCACAGATCAAGTTACGAAGCAATAACAGAGCCAACGTGTACACTACAAAACAGAGAATATTAAATTAATGCTTTTGACAGTTATTTTGTGCTTTTTAATGCAGAAAAAGATGACTTAAATATGAAAAACCTAATACTCATGCAACCCAGCAAACCCACAGCGATTGAAATACGAAATTACCACCTCTTGTCAGGCCGTTCAAGGTCGATGAAACGAAAGAGCGGGCAGCTTCGAAAGGCTCTGACGTTTTTCCAGTGCCGAATTAATCGGGTGGCATGGCCCAGTCACGCAGTCGCGGTCAATCTGTACAACTTGCTTTTACTCATATTAAATTTATTGTTCTGTCTAATGCCTGAGTGTGTTCTCCATCATATGTTGGTAATTTCACGTTACAATGAGTCAGTGTAGACTTCCACGTAAGATCTTAATGATTAGGCAGTTACAACATGACAAATCTACAATTTGAGGATTAGGTCTATTGTTAGAGCAGTACTTATACCGAGGTAGACCATAATTCTGAAAACCTTCTGGGATTAAAAGAAACCAGTCCATGGAAGGCGTTTGACACGATACTATTCTGTAAAAATCCGCTTCCAATTCTGTCCTTAGAGCACACTCTAGGACTACTAGCCACAGATTGTTCGGAAACCAATTCAAATTGCATTAGCGATACCCTAAAACCAGAAGAATCTCTTTACTTTGCATGAAATTAACTTATTGTAGTCACCTCAGAAGCGTGTTTGACACTTGAAGACGCACTCAATACCTAACTTCGAAGTCTGAAACGTTGTTGTGCATTTCCTCTTCAAAAAAGATATCGTTAGGAACAAGTACATAGATGAAGAACCAGGTTGGTGAAAAAACCAAGGAACAAATCTTACGAAGATAGACTCCGGCACTTGGAATTGTTTTCTCTGAGGTATAAGAGAATAATACGTGATCTGATAATGGGACGCAACGTATTAAATACGTCGAGTCGCCTGAATACAACAATCCCCGAAGAAATGTGGATGAATAAGCGGGAACCCGGGAGCAACTTCAGTCTTTCTCAAAAAAGATTATCGACATTATTGTTTGCGGATGATGTAAAAATCTGGAGAACAATAAAAAGTGCAGCTGATCATCTGGATCTTCAAGCTGACTTAGACGGTTTAGTTAGATGGGCTCGAGAGTGGGGCTTAGAAATCAATGCTAGGAAGAGTGTGCTAATGCACATCGTCACGGTAATAGTTACCGTTACACTTTTGAGGGTAAACCTCTTCCATGCGTTGAAGAGCATAAAGACTTAGGAGTAGTATTAGGTCATGATTTAAAAACAACTACGCATTGCAAAGCAGCCGCTGTCAAAGGTTTTCGTGCGTTATGGTCACTTCGCCGAGCGTTCATATCTTTTGACGAGGAAACGTTTCGAATTTTATATCCCATATATGTGTAGTGTCAGTTATTATGCCAAGCCCATATACCTTATTCTAGCTTTCGGACATCCCGTTTTATTCATTCTACTCGAGCCATACTTTGACCTTGCTATTTATTCGCTTATCAATCTAGACTGTTTTTATATGAGTGTGTATGTGTGTGCCCTTCTTATCCCATTAATCACATGTCTGTATCTTTATTTTTGTCTGACTATAAATATTGAGTAACGCTTGACTAGAATGGAGTTGGTTTCCCAGCCATCTTCCATACGTGTCATTTTGCTTTACTATGTTTCATTCGCTTCATGTACGAAATATATGTATTCTCAAGTCAATTCTCGTTATTCGACTTATTTAATTCCGTTATTGGATAACGCGATTTAAGTCGACGATGATATACGAGAAAAGGCGACAACAAACATTTATACGATCTTGGAGTCAGATCATCGGGCTACTAAATATGTAAGACCACATTTAAAGTACTGTATCCAAGCAGCTGGCCCGTGTCTGGTAAAGGATACTAACTCCCTTCAGCGTGTCCAGCGTGTGGGAACGAAATTAGTGAAGGGTCTTTCTAGACTCCCTTACGATGAGCGTTTAAAACGCCTAAATCTTTTCACTTTGTCGTATCGTAGGACACGAGGTGACCTTATACTGGCATTTCGTATCTTTAATTATGATTTGGGTGTTAATATGTCTTATCTTTTTGCTCCCTCCAGCATTAATAATCTCCGAGGTCATAGCAAGAAGGTTCATAAATCACGATCTAATAAACTTAAAGTGGGGTCCCGTTTTTCTCATAGAGAGTCAATCATTGGAACGCCTTACCCGAACAAGTGGTATCAGCCCCATCAGTGAAAACTTTCAAGGAGAAGCTGGGCCTTCACTGGAAAGCAGTGTGTCAGGATTAATACAGGTTCACTAACCTATTATCCTTATTACTGAAGACTGAAGAGTGGATGTAGAATGCTCTCCTAGACGAAGTAAGCAGAGCACCCTTAGAAGATAACTCCAAAAGGAGACTTGAGAAACGTATACACACTCATCACATGCTTCTTGAGCTAGCTGTGCTCTAAATATCTGTTGTTATTAACGAATGCCACTTACTTATTCTTAGCTCTCTTCTTACGTGCTACTCTTATATCTTTATTCAATTACATAGTCTGCATTGCTGGTCAGTCTGTCCTTCCTTTTACTGCGTTAGTCGTCTTCTCTTAGCGCTTCTGCATTCGAACTTTTATGTACTATATATATTCAAACTGCAACAATCAATCTAAGCTTATCACAAGTCTCCGATATATTGAATATTTAAGGTCAACAGAGTGAAGGCGCTGCTTATGATGTCTGGTCCTTTCTCTCTTTTTTCAATGTAAAGCAGGTAGCCTCCTTAACTTTGGAGACTATGTACATAAACTCAAAAATGGCAAACAACATTCCTCCTGGGTATCACGTTGAAGTTGTAGGGGACGCTAGATTTGTGGTACCTTTACGGTACTCTAATTTAAAGCCCATTGGTTCTGGAGCTCAGGGCTTTGTTGTGTAAGTTAACCATTTAAACTGAATTCAATATCGGAGTACTATATTATGCTTCAACAATTAGGTCAATCGGCTTTACAATTTCTGTAGATTTTTTAAGCACGAGGTGTGTTCTTAGTGAACTTACAATGTCTCGGAGATTTGAAAATACAACTGATTCTTGGTACTGCTCAGATTTTCAAGACTTATCGAAAAAATAAATAAATCAGGTCACAAGATTTCATTTTAAAGCAAATCAGTGGCAACTCAGTCGGGATTATGTATTTACATAGCTTCTGTTGGATCAGTTATTGTTGCATATTCTTGGTCAAACTGGGATTCGTGTTGTGTCCTCATCCATCGATTATGTGGGTAATGCTTTGTTAGCAGCTCCGCATTTTTTATCGAGTGGCACTAGGAAAACATTTATGAAAGCTTTAGAGTCCTTTTACGCGACTGTACTGATTAGCCTCCACTTTCTCTGTAGGTCTGTTGTTCCCTAATATTTATGCCCTACTCACTACATATAACCACCACTTGAAAATAAGCTATCAGGATACCCTTCGCAGCGGGTAGTCCGCAAAACTTTGTTGATTTGTCTCTTACGTTCACATATCTGGTCGATTGATCACTGTCTATACTTTGAAGTTTTGTAGTGAAATTAAACCATAATAAGCATATCTTTCTTTACAGTTATTTGCTGTTTGTGATACTCATGGACAATCATCAATTAAATTGTGGTTTGAATGCTGCGTTTTTTCTTAGTGCTTAGAGTTCGAGTTTTTGTTTTGCTGGTGTGGTTTCGTATGTAACTACACTATCTAATCCGTTTTATAAAAAGATGCTTAATTTACTGTGTATATAGCCCATCTAAGTATTTTCATTTCAAAGTTCAAACTGCTTCTCCATACGAATAAAATTGTGTACCATTGACAGAATTTATGCATCGTGATCTTGATTTGTACATATTGCTTTTACATGGTATTCCGTCTGTGATTATGTTTGTTCACATGTAACAGCGCTATATTGTGATTTTTTGGTTCCGGTTCAATGAGTATTTCCTGGCTATCACTGACTTACTGCTCAACAGTCCTCTCTTTAATACTTTTCGGCTCTGAAATATAACTATAAGATAAGTATATGTGGCTTCTTTGAAGCATCGCTGACATCGTGAAACAGGCGAATGTTAAGGTTAGGGATATGTTACTAAAGAAATGTGGCAAATCTGTTAATTACGTTGCCAATATCCATCGATTGAGGTGGTCAAAACACGTGTTACTCATGCCTAACCACCAACTACCCAGATGGGTGTTTACTGGTGTAGGAGTAGGTTAGAAAATAGGGTTGTCCAAACTCTTATTTATTTGAACACATAAGTATTGGTAGAAGAGGGCACCAAATATATATGCGCCACACAAAACAATGAGGATTCGAAGAGAAAAAAGGGTAAGGAGCGTAAAAAAAACAGTAGCGAACAGATTAGTGTAAGGTAGTGTTATAGTATTAATGGAAGAAACGGAAAAGTGCAATCAGAAAAAATCTTTCAGCTTAAAAAGAAACAACCATCTTTTATGAAGAAAGTAAAAGAAGGTTACAGCAGGATCGCCACTGGCTTCTACTCTGAGTCATATCTGATAACGTCTCTAGCCACTGTGTTGCACCACCTCTCGGACCCCAACCAGGGAGTCGTGAAAGGCCAACGTAAGCCAGCTCTTTGCAACTTTCACACCACCAAACCATGTCAAACACTGACCGCCTCTCCACCTCGCTTTTTCTAACCAGTCCCAGCATCGGCAAATAATGCACGACGTGGAATTCTCTGGAATACCATTCGTAGAGCATGTCCAAGCCACCGAAGTTGGTGTTTCAAGATGGTGGCACCAATTGCATTATCGTCTCTGTGCCCTAATACACGATACCGAACCTCTGCATTACTAACATGATGTTGCCAATGGATGTCAGAAATCCTTCGGAGACGGCGATGATCGAACACAGAGAGTCGTCTAACATCTTCAACTCAGAGAGGCCAGGTTTCACAAGCATAGAGCAAAACTGCTCTCACCGACGCGTTGTAGATCCGACCTTTGACAGCCAGACTGACATCACGAAGGCGCCAAAGATGTCCCAGATTTGCATACGCCCCTCTGGCTTTCACTATACGTGCACTGATCTCGTCACTCACACCACCACCAGCACTTATACAGCTACCTAGATACACGAACTTCTCGACTACTTCTATCTGCTCACCATCCAGAGTGAGTACAGGATTAGAATCCTGCTAGTCTTGTAGAAGTGCTTTGCACTTCGAAGGTGCAAAGCACATACCATACCTACGGACACTGACTGCCAACTCATTAACTGTGGATTGCGTGGCTCGGGCATTATCGCACAGTAAGACAATATCATCCACATACTCAAGGTTGAGAAGTCTCTCCAGGCAACAGATCCACACCTCCATTACTTGCATCTATCAGAGCCGTTTCCAGAATGTCATCGATGGCAAAGTTGAAGAGGAATGGTGAGATTGGGCAACCCTGTCTAACCCCACTGCTTCAATGGAACAATGGAGAAAGGTGGTTGTATTCCCTCATTCTGCCTGAGGTGTTTGTATATAGGGCTTTTAAGATGTTAATAAACTTCTCAGACACACCTTTCTTCAATAGACAATCCCAGAGAACAGTCCTGTCCAACGAATCGAAGGCAGCCCTAATGTCAAGAAACACTACGATTGTTGGCCTTTGATAAGTATGGCGGTGTTCTAACATTTGTCGGAGGGTGAAGATATGATAAATACATCCTCGACCGGAATGAAAACCATCCTGCTCCTCGCGAGTCAATCTTTCTCGGGCTTCTCGGTCCTTACGCAAGCTTTCCCCGATTTCATTACGTAACGTCCTTCGTTTGTGGTCAAATTCACAGTCACCCGGAGTAGACCGACGGGCTTCGATGAGTTGTAAGAAGCCTGAAGAAACCCAGTGCTTATAAGCGGGACGTTTCGTGAAGCCGCAAGCGACTTTACTCGCCATTTTCATGGCGTCATGTAGTGGCAACCAACTTGCTGTCATCAATCCTTTGGTGGCGGTCACTTCGTTGGCCACTGAAAAGTAAGGTAAGATTGGTGCAGACTAGGGCATGATCAGAGTCCAGATAGGTACTCCAAAAGGAGCGGCAGTCTTGTACACAACCACGCCAGCGGTAGCTGGTCGCGATGTGATCAATCTGAGTTCAGGCTTGAGATGCAGAGGGAGGACGCCAGGTGGCACATTAGCGATGACTGTGCTGGAAGTTAGTGCTATCCAGAAACAGGTTGTGGTCTGTGCACAGTTGCAGTAGACGGTCCCCGTTATCTGTCCTACGACCAACAAGTCCCCATCGGCCACCTAAACGATTCTCTTCTGTGCCTAGACGCCCGACCTGAGCATTCAAGTCTCCGGCTAGTACTACAATATCCAAACTAAGACATGGCATCAACCCATGAAGTCATTGGCAGTTAGTCTGAACTGTTTTGGGGATGAAGGCTGCTTGATTGGGATTCGCGTGATTGCCTTAGTGGTTATAAATTTTGGATGACATGGCTGAGAATCATTCGCAATGTCTCGATTACATTCACTCTTGATATTAATCACAGTTATGAATTTCCGTATTTCTTAATACACACCTTTGTACTCTATGTCTGATCACTATTGCTATCAGACTTTCGCTGTTCTTGGTATTTTTGTCTCATCATTTTAATATGATTTGTCAACTTGTGCTAATGTACATTTGCGTTACATTGTGTATTGATGTCTGTTTGTCTGATGCTTGCAAAAACTAGTTTGTCAGTCTAAGACTGACGACAACTGGTGACACGAGGAAAAAAGCTTGATAAATTAAGCTGTTTGAAAATTCCTGGTTGTGTTTATTTATTTGTTTCAACATAAATATTAGTACAAGAAGGTACCAATTGTATTTGCGCCACACAAATCACTTGATATGTGTAAAAGCTGGAATACTGTCCGGGCACAATCTAAAGCACGTGGTTTTCTTAGGGCGCCACGCCTGGAGCCTTCGACCTAAAGGTTTAGTCAACAAGACAGTGGGGCAACGTCAGGAGATTCAGCCCCATGGTAGCCGGTGACCAACAATAGGTTCATACGCCTTTTGTTTACTCAGGATAAAACACATTTCGGTGTATCTTTAGGTTCTTTGACTAGGTGACCGAAATGAATTGTTGTACGTGCGATCTACCCAAATGAACCAGTGGATTTTAAGGTGTTATAAAGACCCCAATAAAATGTTACCTATAACTTGGTTCTCTGCTGAGTGCGTAAACTACTAAAATGTCTGTTTTCACCCATCACTCGTATAATTTTTATTTTATCCAAGTTTATGTAACTGTTCCATTTGTCTTATTTTTAATTCTCACATAAACATTGATTTTATGTACTCCCTAATGAATAATGGATACAGCGATGGGTTAGTGATTAGAGCCTTCAGTTTTTAATCAGTAATTTGCCTTTCCAAACTCCTCTCCATTTATTTCGATTTGCTCAAACTAACATTATCACAAGCCGTTACATCGATAGTATTCTTCAAAGCTACCGAGTACATAAATATGTACTTGGCAAATGAGTTACATTAAATCCGTTATATTGAAATGATCTTCTGTTTGCTTTCTCCTACAGAGCTGCCTATGATTCAGTACTCAAACAAGATGTTGCCATTAAAAAATTGGCTCGTCCTTTTCAAAATGTTACACATGCCAAACGTGCCTATCGTGAATTTGTTTTAATGAAACTGGTGAACCACAAAAATGTTAGTAATCTGTTTTCTTTTCAGTGCCAGCTTTATCGCCTACGCTTTACCTCTGTTTTTGTAGATTATCTTGTAATTTTGCTTAGCCACGTTGATCTGTTTTATTGTTCAATTACTAATCCTTGATGATAATAAATTATTTTTGGATTTGATTAGTAAACTTCACCGTACATCAGATTACATGAGGGATTCTTTATTGGATGAAGAAACTCAACTGAACTGTAAAATTTGATATACCTGCATCTTAGAGTTGAAGTTGACTCCATGACTCAAGCTCAATACCATTCGCTTCAAACACCGATGCATTATCCACTTAGCTAATAGACTCAGTTTCGTAATGCCTAATTCTACCTGTTCTATTATTCATCGGCGAAAATTCAGTGGATTAACATATCATTGTTCACACGACTGATTTCATATAGTTCACCAAAATATAAATAAGAATCATTTGGCCGAATACAAATAAAACCAATAGATTGTCAAAATAAATGTAACCCATTTATCGTGCACAAGTGTTTTGTGTTCAGCTTCTAGCTACATTTCAAATGTAAGGCTTATTCGACTCAATCAACTGGATATTGTTGAGGCCTATTAATGATTGTGATTTAAAACTTCCAGTAAGTTAACGTTATGTTGTCTGTCAATCATTGTAGATAGATCGTTCATGAAGTTTAGAAAAGTTCAATTTCTTAAAATGTCTTATCTACTGACTCAGATTTCTTAGTAAGTGTTTAAGTGGTTGACTAGCCATCTTTCACATACCAAGTAAGTGTTTTCATTTCAAATGGACACAACCAGAATGTATCACAAATTTCGTTTGTGTTCTTAGTTCAGTTATATTAACCTAAACTGAACTTGTTAAGTTTGACTCTTTCTTTTTGTGTTCTTCTCCATACTACCAGTTCATCTAATTAACGGACCTAATTATTTTGTTACTAATAAGCGGTTGTTTGGTTATAGAAACAAAGAATACCTTCCGTTAATTTGTCATCGGAATATATCTACAAATTCAGTTGGTTTTGTGTTTGTATCACGTCATTTCATTCTTCAGTTATTACAGTTTATCAATTTATCTAGATAGAATTCTGCTTGTTTTATCTTTTCAAAACTGAAGAAACTTTCTTCCACATTTCCATTGGTGTTGATTATTTACCGACGATGTATGAAGAAATAACGTTTCAATCTATTACTGAATGTAAAGTAGAGCTGTAGATTGTTAATTAAAACACATTCAATCTAAACTTGTATCGTTTTTTTGTTTTATCATTTAAGTAGTATGCATGATATTCACACAGTAAATTTAATTCGAAAGTTGGTGCACAAATATATACCTAACTATTGATTTGCACTATGCAAAGAGATATGGTTAAAGAATTACAGATAATCAGCCTTCCAGGAATTAACAATGAGTTAAAACAATCGTTATATTCCTTTTTCTATCTGTTCATCATTTTTGAATTAACTCATCAGAATAATAACCTCATAATTAATTAACTTATTGTTTCTTTGGAATTCCTATTTTCTCTATTATTTGGATGTTGTTCAATGTGGATGTGAACCATCTATAGGACAATTATATCTTTGTTAAGTTTATGTGTACTGCATATAATCTTTGAAAATTAATGTTTACACTTGTTTAATTTAAATTCATTGGCCTCCTAAAAAACAACCCGGACAAGGGTGTATATTTGCTTTTTTTGTAAAAATGGAAAATCATTGAATAGTTATTCCTAGTCAATTGTTTGTTTCACTGTAATAGGCATTAATTCAATGATTCTCCATGTATTAAATGTTTGTGATTGTTTTATCCTCTCGAATCCATTTGATAATTTAGTTTTTAATATCATATGATATTAATCAAAATATGCTCACTAGTGACTGGCTTCAAATGGTATATCCTGGAGTTCTAGTGAGAAGTAGTGACCAGTGGAGTTCAACCAGATCTGTTGTGAGATAGTAACTCACTGAAGACAATGGTGGATGTGTCGCTCAATTTCGTGGATTAGTTGAAGTTAGACATTAACACCGTTGGATGACGGCGAGTCCAGTGGTCAAGTGCTCGCGCGCGAAACCAGTGGGTCCTGGGTTCGAATCTCACAGGGGGCGAGGTCGTGGATGTGCACTGCTGAGGAGTCCCACAGTAGGACGAAACGACCATACAGTTCTCCCAGGTTTTCCATGGTGGTCTAGCTTCAACTGACTCATGATCTTAACCAATGAAATTTAGTTTTTCACTATCTATTTGTTCCTTATTCCCAATGAAATGTTTCAATTAGTATGCTCTTCAGAATATTATTTCGAAACTCGATAAAAGCGAAATCCTTATATTAAGTTAAGTCAAATCGTTAAAATGACTATGGAAAACTGGGAGGTGATTCATAGGAATTTAGAGGAGTGTTAAACAACTTATCACTGTACGGTTTCAAATTTCAAAACTATGTATTATGCATAAAATAACTAATTTGAAATGCGCTTGTAAATTTCTCCCTCCTGTTTACAATTAAAAGCGTGAAAATCAGGAATACGAGTTATTTTTGAGTTGTTAGATGTACTACTTTTCATTTTTGATATGTAATCTTTTCGACACATAATTCTGATAAACTTCGTCTTCTCATTGCATTATCGAAATTTATCAAAGGAACTAATTGTTTTAGATAGTTTTTCATTTTTGATACTGCAATGATCCTGATACGTGTAACTTTACTTCAGTTTCTAAGTGATCCGTTGGATTTTGAAGAACATGCTGTATGATAGATTAAGACAGAATAAAAACGTTTTACAGTTCATAATTTTTTGGTGAGATAGTGAATCGTCATCATTTGTGTTTGGAAAATGTTATATTTTCCCGCCTACATCGAGAGGGAATGTTGTCTGATGTAGGATAGGGTTGGAGGAAAGCTAGGGGCGATCAAATCAAGACGTAGGACCAGTCCATGAAGTGACAGATAACTAAATTAATCCAGGTAAATAGGTATAGACTATCTGGTTGAGATTCGTCTGATTGTCGTAACTAATGGTTATAGACTTTGGGTGGTCGTCTTGGACGATGGGCAGTGTTTTTCGAGGGGTAGTTCAACTGGTCTCTTGCCCCGACAACATCGATCAGAGTTCCCTGCCCTCCATGGCCGGTGACGACTGATCCACCAAATGAGGCGGAATTCCGCAAGGAACTCTAGCTCTTGAAGCGCTACAAATCACTAGGCCCAGATGACTTACCTCCGGCTCTTTTTAAAGATGGTGGTGACTTTCTGACTAAGGAATTGATGACGTTGTTTGCAAAGGTTTGGGAACTAGAGAGTGTACCAAGGTCATGGAATGAGTCGATAGTTGTCCCTATCTTTAAAAAGGGTTCACGTCGTTCCTGTAACAACTATCTGAGGATAAGTCTACTTCTGATTGCATCCAAGCTATTGGCTTCCGTCATACTTCGTAGGTTGTTCAAAACTCGAAAAGATTGACTCGCAAGGAGCAGGCTGATTTTCGTTCTGGTCGAGGATGTATCGATCATATCTTCACCCTCCGCCAAATGTTAGAACACCGCCATACTTTTCAAAGGCCAACAATCGTAGTGTTTCTTGACATCAGGGCTGCCTTCGATTCGTTGGACAGGACTGTTCTCTGAGATTGTCTGTTGAAGAAGGGTGTGCCTGAGAAGTTTATTAACATCCTAAAAGCCCTATATACAAACACCTCAGGCTGAGTAAGGGCATACAACCACCTCTCTCCATTGTTCCATTCGAGCAGTGGGATTAGGCAGGGTTGCCCAAACTCACCATTCCTCTTCAACCTTGCCATCGATGACATTTTGGAAACAGCTCTGATGGATGTAAGTAATGGAGGTGTGGATCTGTTGCCTGGAGAAAGACTTCTCAACCTTGAGTATGTGGATGATATTGTCTTACTGTGCGATAATGCCCGAGCCATGCAATCCACGCTTAATCAGTTGGCAATCAATGCCGATCTTGGTCATCTTTGGTGCCGTCGTGATGTTAGTCTGGCTGTGAAAGGTCGAATCGACAACGCGTCGGTGAGAGCAGTTTTTCTCTATGCTTGTGAAACCTGGCCTCTCTGAGTTGAGGATGTTAGACGACTCTCTGTGTTCGATCGTCGCTGTCTCAGAGGGATTGCTGACATCCAGTGGCAACACCATGTCAGTAATGCAGAGGTTCGGCATCCTGTGTTCAGGCACAGAGACGATAATTCAATTAGTGTCACCATCTTGAAACATCGACTTCGGTGGCTTGGACATGTTCTACGAATGGTATTCCAGAGAATTCCACGTCGTGCATTATTTGCCGATGCTGGGACTGGTTGGAAAAAGCGAGGTGGAGAGGTGGTCAGTGTTTGACATGGTGTGGTAGTGTGAAAGAAAGCTACAGAGGTCTGGCTTTTGTTGGTCGTTCACGACTCCCTGGCTGGAGTCCTAGAGATGGTGCAACACAGTGGCTAGAGACGTTATCAGATATGACTCAGAATAGAAGCCAGTGGCGATCCTGTTGTAACTTCTTTTTACTTCCTCCATAAAATTGAAAGTAACTTTAACTGAAATAATCCTTTCTTGTTGTATTTTTCCCAATGAAGCTGTTTGTCCCATTAGTATTATTATTTCACTCTAATACACTTATTTCTGTTCATTGTTGCTCGTCTTTTAATAATACTCAACCCCCATTCGCTGTTTCTTCACAACCTCATTGTTATTTTGTTACATATATGTATTTGGTACCCCTTGTACCAATATTTATGTGTTCAAATAAATAATTGGGCGATATGACTCAGAATCGTTCACAATAGCGTAGGTGTATTCACCCCTTATCTTTTAGAACGTTCAGAAGTGTCTCTGTACAGTTTTCCTTTCTCCGTATCTAATTTTTTTTGCCACTTTGGGATTTGTCTTGGAATAACTATCTCAAGTACATACATCAATTTCTATGTTACATATTACTGATTCATTAGTCATTTTATATATAGGTGTAATGTTTACTTGTCAATCTGTCTAAAGACTAAAATTCTTTGGCAAAATGAAATACTGCCTTCTTAGCTAATGTAAGTCAACTTGATCTACTACACAACCGTTACTTTTAAATGCGTTGGCAATATTAAAAGCGGAAGGTGTAAGCATTTTCAATATCTCACAGTACATACACTGTGTTTACTGTTGTATATTTGTAATATCTTATCTCTCGATGATTGCTATATTTTTGTTTACTACTTCACATTAGATCATATCATTATTAAACGCATTTACTCCTCAACAAACATTGCAAGATTTTCAAGATGTTTATTTGGTGATGGAGTTTATGGATGCCAATTTGTGTCAGGTAATTAACTTTCTTTCTACAATTCATACTTTGACACTTCTACTTTGAATTCAGAGATGTGTTAGGCATCTGATTGAGTCCAGTGATGCAATCCACTTTATCTATCTGTTTTATACATACATAACATAATTATTCATAATTTAGTAGATACTTTGGTATAGTCCTTAAGACTGACAGTAGGCAAAGTGCATGTATAACTCAATTCAGATACACTTAACAACAGTGTATTCAAAGAAGACATGAAAATGTTTTTAAAAAAAGATTTTGAAATTCTCATTAAGCAATAAATACACTTAAACTAATGTGATTTTAATTTGTTATTTGTGTATCTCAAATCCTAGTCAAGAAGTATACATTAACAAATCATGACTCTTTTGACTAATTGTTCAGATTTAAAAGGTTCAGGATAAACTTTAACAGTCATATTCATTTATTCATAAAACTGGTTGTCACAGTACATTTTAGAACCGATCCCATATGTTGCACTCTCTTTTTCATTTATAGAAAAGCTTCAATAGTTGAAATCATGAGCCAATTGAAGCTAGACCACTATGGAAAACCTGGAAGCACTGAACCGCTGTTTCGTCTTAGTATAGGACTCCTCAGCAGTGCGCATTCATTATCCCACTCCCGCTCGCGCGCGAGACTGACAGGTCCTGAGTTCGAATCTCGCGAGGCCAAATCGTAGATGCGCACTGCTAACGATTCCCATATTAAAACGAAAAGTTCATCCAGTGCTTTCAGGTTTCCAATGGTGGTCTAGCTTCAATTGACTCATGACTCCAACTATTGAAATCACTGAAATCTCCACAAAACCCCTTCTGATATAGAAAAGTTAAAGATCAATTAGCAACAAGATGAAAGTTGATAATTAATGGATCATATTAAGCAATACAGAGCAAAATATCAATAAATTAAATAGTATCTATCAGTGATTTCCACCATAACACAAACTATTTCTGTTCATATCAGTTAGATATAACAAAATAGAAATTTCATTAATACTCTAATTTGAATTATTATGGTTTGTAATGACACAGATACAAGAATCACTTAAAGGATGATTAACAAACATTACACGTACACTCATTATTTGATCAGTTTCTTATTAGATCAATTATATTAATTTCTAACATCTCAATAATTTAAGTTAAAATATTTAACTTTATCTCAAATAAATGATTATCTGGTTAATATAGACATGATTCTCCATACAATGTTGTTAGAGATATTTACACATACCGAAATAATATATCACAAAGAAATAATTTTAATTTCAATAGTTGAGCTCATGAGTCAATTGAAACTAGATCACTATGAAGAACTCGGAAGCACTGGATGTTCGTTCCATCCTCAACAGTGCCCATCCACGATCCTGCCTCGCGAGACTCGAACCCAGGACCTATCGGTCTAAGATACAATATAGCTTCTAGTAAACGTATAATGTTAATGCAAACTTTACTATGTTTACACTGTATACAGTCGGTACATATTCTAGTTGTAATTCTAATGTGGATTGTAAGTGTCTTAAATAGTCTATGAATTAGCCATTTTGTTCATGATCTGTGAATGGATGATTATTCTTCCTCATGTTATGAAGTTGTGTACGTTCTGAAATTATCATCCAATTAGTAATATGATTGTTTAATATACAATTTAGCACATTTCCCTTATTTTCAGGTGATCAATCTTGATTTAGATCATGAACGAACCTCATATCTACTGTATCAAGTCTTATGTGGTGTAAAACATTTACATGCAGCCGGTATAATCCATCGAGATTTAAAACCCAGTAATATTGTTGTAAAACATGATTGTAGTTTGAAAATTCTGGATTTCGGTTTGGCTCGTACAGCTGGAGATAGCTTTTTGATGACCCCATATGTTGTAACTCGGTATGAACATTAACATATTTTTCATTACCCTATCAGTTATCATTCTTCAGTGTTCATTATTAGCCAGTTTTAATGATTAAATATGCTTAACATTTTGACATTTTATACTTGACAGTTCTTATCAACAGACACTATCCGCATTTTCTAGGCTAGTTGTTGAATTTAGCCAGTGTTATTCAATATTGTCTTATTTTACTTAATCAGAAAACTATTCCATGTATAGTTGAAACCTTTTAAGACTCGACTATGTCCACTAAAAGACTTTCCTATAGTAGCCAATATATATATATATATATATATATATATACATATATATGTATATGTATATGTATATATATATATATATATATATATATATATATATATATATACTAATAAGGTACTGTTCATAGTTAGATCAAGTCGTTTCATCTACTGACATACTTCCTCATTCTTGTTTATATATTGGAGATGAAGGTTGAGCAAGGTCATTGTTACTCAGGATCTCCTAATTTCTAAGCTCTTGTGAACCTGTGCTTTTGAGGAACTGACAAGTTAGGTCTATTTCTGTAGTTCCACAATGAGTAGATTCGTCAGCAGTAACGTTCACCGTCTACCTCGTATACATCAACGTAAACTTATGCTGATGCCTACATCACATTCCTCTCCAAATTTTTACGTTAATGTAACAAGGTTAATCAAATGAAATAGTTTTATTGCTTGGTAATAGTCTTTAATTCTTGAAAGATAGTCGTCATACTTCAAACATCTATGGTTCCTCAGTACAATATCATATCATATCATCTCATGTAAAAACTATAAATATACTAACGTTTTAACTATTGTGCTTCTTGCTTCCATCTAACCTTGTTATTTGGAACATAATCTCTTTCCTATTCAACCGTGTTCTGATTTGAGGATATGTCGAGTGAATTGGTGATCAAGAATAACAAGCAATAGGAATGGCTGGGTTGTAACAAGAGAGAATTATAACAGACCACAATACAGTTTTAAAAAACCTATTTGGTTCAATGGACTTTTCAGATGGTAGAGAAGATTTTTAGCTCAGGTAGATGATTTTGATGGAGTTTTCTTCTCTGAGCTGGATGGTTTGGATGTGGAGCTTTCATCGTTTTTCTGAACGATGTCGTTCAGAATGGACTTTTCAATTTTAGTGTTTGTATACTGTTGTAAATTTGATATATTTATGTTTATAGACGTAAATTTTAGTTTTAAAATACTGAATTAAAACTTCTATAAAATTATTTCTTTTTATAGTTATTATCGTGCTCCAGAAGTTATTTTAGGTATGGGTTATTCTGAAAATGTAGATATTTGGTCAGTTGGTTGTATATTTGCTGAAATGGTTTTAGAAAGAATTCTATTCCCTGGTTATGATCATATTGATCAATGGACTAAAATTACCGAAGAACTTGGAACACCAGGACCAGAATTTATGAATCGTTTAGAATATGCTGTTCGTAATTATGTAATGTCACGTCCAAAAAATGAACCACGTTCATTTACTGAACTTTTTCCAGATGATCGTTTCCCTCCACCTAGCACCGTAAGTTATTTCAATTCTTTCTTTTTTTAACCTTTTATGTCTCAAAGCACTTTCCACGTATTAGAAGCTATAATCGAATATGGTTGTTTTTTCATGCCTTTTGTATATTATTTAGATTAACAACTTTTATCATTTGTAAATTTTCAGTTACTTACTTACGCCTGTTACTCCCAATGGAGCATAAGCCGTCGACCAGTATTCTCCAACCCACTCTGTCCTGGGCCATTTTTGTAGTTCTATCCAGTTTTTGTTCATTTTTCTCATGTCTATCTCCATTTCTCGGTGTAATGTGTTCTTTTGTCTTCCTCTTTTCCTTTGGCCTTGAGGATTACAAGTGAGGGCTTGCCTCGTGACGCAGTTGGTGGATTTCCTCAATGTATCTTATCCACTTCCAGCGCTTCTTCTTGATTTCCTCCTCCCCTGTGATCTGGTTTGTTCTCTCCCACAGTAGGTTGTTGCTGGTAGCGTCTGGCCAACAAATTTTCAGTGGTACTAATTATTTTACTCACTTCTGTTCATTTTATTCATTCACAAGAACTTTGCATTATTTATCGTGAAGCTGAATATTGAAATGTCCGTAAACCGGAGTTCCCTAGTATAATCTTTATTCATTTTCTTGTATCTTGAAAAATAAAAACTAACTACGTATTTAGGTTCCTGGTTGAAGTAAAGTGAATTCTATTTACGAGCGATTGAGAATCTTTTGATAAAAACAGTAACAATTAAGAACTCGAATATACCGCGCACAAAAAACGAAGTGTTAAAAGGATGTAATATAAATTCGATATGGTACAACTCAGTACATTTAGTAACGAATGGATGACCCTGAAACATATAGAAAATTAATAGACTAGAATTAATGACAACTAATCGGGAGAATGTGATGAACTGGATTGAAACAAAAACACTCCTAGTTACCACTACTAGTATAAATTGAGAGATTTCATAACTGCCTTATCATCTATATTGTTCCTTTTTTCATAAAAGTTCACTCCTGGCTAACGCTTGCCTGATGTACTAATTTAGGATTTACTTAACATATGTGTTTTATGAAGAATATCTTACTTTCAAGTCCCCTAGATAATGTGATTACTAATTACTAACCATCTGGGTGATTCTACTGCATTTTAACCGGGTCATTCAGGCTTGCAGTATGACTTGTGTTACACATATATATCATGTTTGCGGGAGATCCATATTGCCGTAAGTTTTATGATGCACCATACCAATACCAAATGTGCACATTTATTTATTTATTTATTTAAACACATGAACATTGGTTCAAGGAGACACCAAATAGATATGCGCCACATAAATCATTCGATTCGTGTGAGGGCTGGGATACTGCACGGGTGCCCAGACTGAAACAAGTGGTTTTCTTAGGGAGTCACACTCTGAGCCTTCGACCCAAAAAGTCTGATCCACAAGGCAGTGAAGCAACGTCAGGAGATGCAGTCTCATGGTAGCCGGTGATCAACAGTAGGTTCATACACCATTTGTTCCTTCAGGATCCTGGAACCCATGTACACCATTGGTTTGGAATGAGGGTTTTACAACTCCGCTTAGTGGACTCTCCGTGTCCACCAACCCAAATAAAGCTCCGGATGTTCACTTTTCGTCCTCTCAATTTTCTAAACAACAGTAATGCCGTGAGAAGGCAGTGAGTAGGACTTGTGTGTCAATGGTTGTATGCACGTAACCACTTGAGAACATTTCTAGAGGGAGAAGTGACTCTCCCCATTCTCGGCTGCACCAGGGTATTTGGGGACACAAGTAACTGATGCTGAGACTATAATTTATGGACGACCTTTGGGCTACGCTGAAGTGACCTTGGGAATGTTCACTTACTAGGGCTAAATGATTGTTATAAAACAGTATGAAGAGTAAGAGTTATGATTTACAGTTGATGGTCAGGGTTAGGAATTAGATTTATGGTTTTCATCACGAACTGACATCAGTTAAAATGCCAGGACGAAGTTTAGACAGTTGGATGAATGAATTTCGCACCAAAATCCGAGACCTGTCATCCTGAATCTGATTGGTTCGTCCATAAATTATAGTCTCGGCTAACTGATTACTTGATTTTTGACTATGATTATCTGTCACCTCATTCGTAGTACGACGTTTCAAAGATTGCTTTCTTACCTAAAGACTTTTTCAGTGGTTAATCTACCATGCAGAAATTCTGAAATTTGTTTGTCACCTAAATGTAAAGTGTTTTTAGGACTGGCTCTGTATCGATTGCTTAATTTTACACTTATTATTCAATGTCCATTAGTTGAGTTGTAAAAATATTTATAATTGTGAAGCTTCATCTTTTAGTGTGACCCAATGTTTAGTGATTAATTAATATCACATTGTCCCCAAATGCCCTGGTATGGTCAAAGTGAAGAGAGTCACCTCTCCCTCTCCAAATGCTCTCACATGGTCACGCATATACAGCCACTCATAGGGAAATCCTACTCACCGTCTTCTCGCGGAATTACTGTTGTTTAAAAGTTGAGAGGACCAAAAGCGAATGTCCAGCGCTTAGACCAGGTTGATGGACACAGAGAGTCCACCAAGGAGAGCTGGAAAACCCTCATTCCAAACCAATAGTGTACATGAGATGGGACTCACGATCCTGAAGGAACAAAAGGCTTATAAACCAATCGTTGGTCATCAGCCATTATGGGACTGAATCTCCTCACGTTGCTCCACTGCTTTGTGGATCAAACCTTTAGTTGGGAGGCTCCGGGTGTGGCTCCCTAAGAAAACGACCTGCTTCTGTTCGGGCACCCAGGCAGTATCCTAGCCCTCATACAAACCGAATGATTTATGTGGCGCATATCTATTTAGTGACTTCTTGTACCAATGTTTATGTGTTTAGATAAACAAATACCATATTACCATTAAGCTAATTGAATTAATTAGTTCGTTATACCTCTTAACTGTTTAGTACAACATACAATTTCCTTTATCGTTAATTCCTTTGCTACTTATCTAAATAAATTTTATCTACCAAAGTTAACTGTCAATAAAATACAAAGTAGCCCACGTAATCCGATTTAACATAATTGACGGTTCTACGTAGACTTTTTCTTTTCTGTCTAATGAATAACTAAAATATTTTCTACTGTAGTAACATAAAATTGAGTTCATAGCGAAAGAAAAAGGCTAAAGGCAACGATGGAAAATGTCTGAGAAACGAAAATAATAAGACATTAATTAAAGCGAACAAAATAACTATGAATGATTTGACATAAATAACAAATAGATCAAAAGGCAAATAATAACTTCAATGGAATGCTTATTTGAGTGTGTAGATCCAGTATAAGCGGTGTATCGGTTCAATTTACTACAATGACTGTATACTAATAAATGTGGTAGCTAAAGTTTGAGAATAATGAGCATTAATTGAAAAGTAGATACTAGAAAATACAGAACGAATAAAACCCAAAAATACAAATTTAAAAGATAAAGAATAATTACAATTATGGTGTATGCTACTTAGGTGAACTTTTAAAAGTTGTCTTTTGTATAGAAGTAAGAAATTCAAAGGGAATTTTCCATGATAAATTACAGAAAACTGTAGTGTAATGAACAATCATTTTATATTACAATGGTTGAAATCATGAGTCAATTGAAGCTAAACCATCATGGAAAACCTGGAAGCACTGAACGGTTGTTTCGTCCTAGTATGGGACTCCTCAGCAATGCGCGTCCACGATCTGCCCCCCCGCGAGACTCGAACCCATTTTATATTAGTGTAAGGATCGTCAGTTAGATATGAATTTATACATATATGATACAGCCTTCTATTACTATTTTGTGTAATCCATTATAAATGAAATCAACATAGTATGCTGGAAATCTGGGCAGAAACACTATACTGCAGCTCTAACCGATTTCAAAGTAAAGATGAATGCTCAAGAAATTTATTGGATGGTTCCTGCTTGAAATCCCTAGTTATCAAACATAGAAATTTTACCCTAAAATAAAGGAATAACGTGTTATCTCACTAAGCGGTCTCGTATTTATTTATTTTCGGAACTCAAACACACATGAAAAAATTACCGAATAATTCCTGGTTTTTAGCGACTCTTTTAAGTATTACTTGCTTACGCCTTCTACTCCTCGTGGAGGAACATAGGCCGCCCACTACCACTCTCCATCCAATCCTTTCCAGTTGTTATTCATCCTTTTCATATCTACTGTCTATCGATTTAATGAGTTCTTTGGTCTTTTGAGAATACCACATTCAAATAAACTGAATATCCATATCACCTTTCTGTAGATAATATTAACAAGTAGATACTTGTTTCTTCACTTACTTACTTATTAAGATGTTTGCTAAGACTGCTCATGATTTCACTTGATCTGTGAAGTTGCCAATGAAAGCATCAGTTTTGCAAGTTTAGTTTGCGGTTCGTCTTATTTACTCTTTATGGTTTTTTTCCGCTTTCCCCTTTCTTTCTATATTTTGATAGGATCATGAAACATTAAACGCTGACCAAGCTCGAGACTTATTAAGTAGAATGTTAGTAATTGATCCATTACAAAGAATTTCAGTTGATGATGCTCTTCATCACCCATATATACACGTATGGTACGAAGACTCTGAAGTAAACGCGGTACGTTAGTTGATATATGAAAATGAAGTTTCCCAAGAGTTTTATAAACATATATATTTCTCACTCTAGGTATTAATATGTTTAATCTTCACCAGGAATAACGGTTCACCGAATGAACCTGACCTAAATCATTCTAAAAGAAGAATTTTTGTTTATATTTCATTAATTTATCTAAGATGTTTTCGAATTAATAAATTTATCAGGCACTCCTCTTTAAGTAAAAATTCCAGAGCACAATCCAGTTCAGTGAGTCGACAGCAGTTTTTGAATCAAAAATATACAACGACTGTTCGTTTTGAGTACATCTTATGATATTCAAGCACTGAATATAAGGTGAAGATATGTTCAGTGTTTTGCATACATGAAAACAATTGAAGTTTTTTAGATGCTCCTACTGCTTTCACTGTAGTGAGGAATTCTGACTTTCAGGTTTCCTAATCTTCACGTACTCTTCGTAAAAATTTTCCGTTATATAGTTTGCACACAGTGACGTACTTCCAATCTATCGTGTTAAATCGATGAACGTCAAAAGATTGGTTGGAGTCCTTGCAACCTGATTTTTTATGAATTTAACCTTTGACTTTTATCGTATTTCGTGAATGCAACTAATGTTCATATATATTTATTAGTGGGGTAAGAACTAGTGATGATAATAATAGTGATCCCTTTATTCATTACTTTATTGAACTTTTTTGGTTTAAAATTAGATTCATTAGCGGTGATGTTAGACTATGACACTTAGCGTATGACATTGACGTCAGCTCTGTTAAACACAAGTGGATTATACTGTCTAAACCGACAGACGATGACTTTACATCGCTGCTCCTGAAATTCCTAAGCACGTGTATGCGATATTACATAAGTTAGTAGCGAAAATCTCCAGGTTCTCAGTCTGGCTTTTTTTTTGTGCAGTCTGCCTCTGAAAGTGAAGGTAGAAAAACTGATAATAATACACATGGTTTGAGAATAGTTGTGCCAGATATCATGTTCACTGACATATCAGGAAAAAATAACGTTTGTTGATTTAAAGTCTACTCATAACGGAACTTCCATGAGAGACATCTTCAATCCCTAACTTTAGCAGAATACTGAAATGTAAATAGCAGTTAATAGAACTTCTCTGAAAGAAGTTGTAAATCATCTTATTATTACTACTAATACTAATCCTGTGTTGTATATCCACACTATCTGTTTTGAACACAATTTATCCATTATTTTCGTTTTTCTTTTACTTTTAGCCACCGCCAGCTCCATATGATGATTCACTTAGTGAAAGAAATTTATCAGTTGAAGAATGGAAAGCGCGTATATTTCATGAAGTAAAAGAATTCGAAGCTAAAGAATCTCATATACGTAATGTTCAAAATTAAATGATCTTTGAAACAAATAGATCACATGTGTATATACACATGCATTTATAAGACAAAATAATAAAAGACAGAGAGAAAGAAAAGTGTTCTACATAGGAGATCGAATAAACGAATATTATAAATCGTTACCAAGATATCAACAACAAACCTACAGATTATTCCCAGCTTTCTTTTCTTTTAAAAAAACAAACTTTATTAAACTGGAAACTGTGAATAGGTGTAGTGATGATGATGGTGGTGGTGGCGGTAGTGATGGTAGTGATACAGTGAAACTTTTGATTGTTTTCTTGTTTTTTTATATCACTATTATTATTTTCTATTGTTTAACCTCTTGTAAATTTATTGGCTACCAGTTATTATTATTATTATTATTGTTATGTATAAAATAAATAATAGAGATAGTCGTCTATACATAAAATTATTTATCATTATTATTCCAAATGTGCATAGGATGATTCGCTTGTGTTATCCTTTGATTATGCACTGTATAGGAAATGAATGTTCCGTTGAATGTATACATACATACATACATACATATGATGTAACTCGAATGGATTATGTTTATTTTTCTAAAAATTTTATCGTTGTTTTATTCCTTTTTATATTTCCCCCTTTTATTAATTCTTTTCTTTTAAAAAAATTTTAGTTTCCATATATGTTTATGTATATGTGTGTGTTGGGTAATTTTTGTTTTCTTTCTCCCTGTTATTACTATGTTATTATGTAACTTTAGTGTTAATATGCACACACACACACACAGACATCCACAAACACATACATGCTTATTTTTCATCTATTCATCAACTACTTTTCTATGTTTATTTTGTGATATAACCTTTCATTGTAGACGATTCAATGAATTCACTTATTATGTCATTTATATTATTATTCAATTAAATAAATATATGTATCACCTTTTAAATGTAATCACTATTCCCGGTATAAGATAATCATAATCATAAATGCTTGTTTGTTTGTTGTTTTTTTTTCTTTTACATCCATTTCTATATTTATACATGGTTTTATTACTGTCTCAAAGAAAAAGAAAAAAAAGAGAGAAACATTTTCTTTTCTCTTTTCTTTCTTTTTTTCGAAAAAAAAGAACAAACAAACAATATTTTATTCACTAATATAATTGTCCATCACCGCAAATGCCTATTCATTATGTGTTTTGATTTTTGAAAGAAAAACAAAACCACAGCAACAACAACATCCCATTGAAATTTATTTTGCTATATTGTTGAATCTACTACTCATATTATATATATATATATATATATATATATATATATATATATATATATATATATATATATATATATATATATCATTCAAATGACTAGTTTGCTTACGCTTATCACTTTTAAACAACATGAAGTCATTTTTGTTTGTTTGTTTGTTTAGCCGGTAAACAAAACAAAGAGAAACCAGAATTGGAACACAATTGTTTGTTGTTTTTCAATATTCTCAATAGTGTGTATTTATTAGTTTATATTTATCTTCTTTTATTATTATTAATAATTTTATTTCTGTTGTTAGGGTATATTACTTTTATTATTAAAACAAAACAACCTCTGTTCAAAATGTTGTTTTGCTCTATTTGCTGAATACCTTCTGGATATCAATCACTAATTTGTTATGAATCATAATGGTCTTGTAAGTATATTGTAAAAATATATAAAGATATGGATCATTTTAGATTATTATGTGTTGATTTCATTTGAATTCTCTTAGTTGTTCATCATTAACACAATCAAATAATGGTTAATTATAAGTTTTTCTTATTCTATCTTAAAAAAAAATTTGTGTTTGTTCAATTGATTGAACAGTTGATAGTTTCTTTTCTTATTTATTTGAATCAGTTTAGCTTATTCTTTCTAGTTAAAATTGTGGATTTATGTAGCTTTAGCTATTTGAAGCGTTTCTACCAATCATTGAGTAGAGAGATCAATTGGAAAATCTGTTTTATCATGTTGATCCTTATTCATTATATTCCTTGATTCATTTAATATTGTCAAATGGTCAAATATTGGCCTCGTACCATGTATTTAGATTTGACAGTCATTGTATCAAGGAAGCAGTCTATATCTCGATTATTTATTTATTTGAACACATAAACATTGATAAAAGAATGCACCAGATACATATGTGCCACACAAATCTCATTTGATTTGTATCAGGGCTGGGATACTGCCTGGGTGCCCGAACCGGAGCAGGTGGTTTTATTAGGGAGCCACACCCGGAGCCTCCCAACTAAAGGTTTGGTCCACAAGGCAGTGGAGCAACGTAAGGAGATTCAGTCCCATAGTGGCTGATGACCAACGATTGGTTTATAAGCCTTTTGTTCCTTCAGGATCATGGGTTTCATCTCATGTTCACCAATGGTTTAGAATGATGGTTTTCCAGCTCTCCTTGGTGGACTCTTTATGTCCATCAACCTGGTCTAAGCGCTGGGCATTCGCTTTTGGTCCTCTCAACTTTTTAAACAACAGTAATTCCGCGAGAAGGCAGTGAGTAGAACTTCCCTATGAGTGGCTGTATATGCGTGACCATGTGAGAGCATTTGGAGAGGGAGAGGTGACTCTTCTCACTTTTTGCCATACCACGGTATTTGGGGGCCTATATCTCGATACAATACATTGTATCTGATACACTAAGGTATGACATTGTCGACAAAAACCGCTTCACAAATTGGGGACATCTCCCCTGAAATCATAGTTCGTCTATCGGATTTTAGCATCACGTTATTCTACACCATGGAAAGATCATTCTGAATGAAGGTATGAAGCATGAATTTGTTCACAGCGAGATGATCATAAATTCGGGATCATCCATATCAATCGGATGACAGCAAGTGTCTGTTAATTGCCTCGGTCTAATTGTCGTGAAAACACTACAATTTTCTACATAAGGCCACTATGGTGGATCTTTTATGATGCGGAAATTTCCTGTTTAGGTAGTCCATGCACAACGAATTCCGCATTCGTGTGCCAACTGATTCTGTCAGTTTACATGATTGTTCCGAATATATTTATTGTTTGTATCTCGAAACACAACCTACATGAATTTCGACTTAAGAGATAACACGTATGTTGTGATGTGCGATGTCCGAAATCTGATGTTGGTACACGGTGTGCTACTCACTAACCGTTCAACTGACTACTTGGGCGAGAAAGTGTATTAGACAATTGAATAAAATGCAAAAATTCTCATTTATGTACATATTAGTCTCTCCTTAGAAAATCAACCCCAATGAAATGCACTTAACCTTTAGGTCACCAATTAATTTATAAAGGTTATGAAGCTAGCAGCATGTGGACTTATCCTCATTCAGTTTCGTTTTTTCATTGCGGGAATATTACTGCTCTAGGACTGCACAGTTTACACTATTTATAAAACAACTTGCGTTACACTTTAAATAAAAACGGTTCTTACTGCCTAAATCACGGACTGGTCTTAAATAACAGTTGAAAATCATTCAGCACGGGACGAATATTAATCCCAGCTCAACAAAACATTCATAACTCCATGAAGGATCGAAATTAGCATGGGCACCGTTCCACCGGAAAGCTGGGTGAACGTTCATTGGTTCAGCGATCCTAGGGTAAATCCCTTGCCACGAGACAGAGGTCCGACACCCGGTGCTTTGTGAATGTATATGTTTTTCGTGCGCTCTATTCCGTTTACAAGTTATATACCTACAAGTATCTCCATCGCTTTCTTTCTTACCTTGGTCTTTGCACATTCTCGACTACTGAGGTATGTACTGAGGAGTCTCGAGAATTATTGGTCGATACATCAAATCCAATTATCCTAATTCGGCTTTTCATAATGTGATCTTCGAGAAGTGCCATCCTATAGTGAAACAGCTGTGTGAGGCTTTCTGGCTTTTATCCGTTATCTAACTATGATCAACTGTGACGCAAACTATAATATGAAGTGCTCATCTAAAGTTTTATGTAATAATTTTCCTATCTTTCATTACTTAACTCCATCAGTAGAAATTTTTCCGTGGCCACTTTTTTATGTGTACATATCCAATTTTTCCAAGAATTTTATATTCCAAACAGCATAGTTTAATGACTTCAGGTCATTCTTTAACGATTGATTTTGTCTCAATGAAACGTTACGTGCATACCTTGTCGCCTTATTATTCAAGTTGGTCAGCAGATCATTGAGATGACTTTAAGAGCCCAAAACTCAGAACGACCTCTCAAAAAACGTCTTATTCATAGTTGTCTTGAGGATCTAACTGCGGTAGTTTTCAAGATTTTGAAGAATAATGGAAGTGGATCACTTAAGTATTTGAGTGATAGCTCTTGACCTTTTCAGAAGCGATAAGTTAAAATGATCTATCATTGTCTTAAAGGCTTGTTACTGTCGGTTGGAGGGATGTGGGTCTGGTATGAAATGGGGTTCATTAGTTATCTTAAACGGGTTTTTATGGACACTGTCAATGTTTGTAAATAGATGGATCCATTATCTTTCTGAAAATCATCGGCTTTTGTGCGAAAATAGTATGCTGTGTAGTGTAACACGAAACAGAGAGTGCGAAGCAGTTTTAGAAAGACTTGAACTTCATAACTGAACAGCCTGACACTTAGCTTGTTTTATTTATTGCTGTCACGTGTATATTTTTCATCCGATATTAAGTGGATATACACTTTGATAATTGTTTAATCAAAAGCGTAGCAGTGGTTTCGAGAAAGGTTTCGTCGAGATCCAATTGGCGAGAGTATAATGATATGCGAATTCCTAAATCGAATAGTTCAGTAAGTTTTTGATATTGTTGATGTTGTTATTAGTTCTACTCAGCTTGGAGTATCTTGTTTGAACATATACACCAGATTATGACTTGATATATTATGCTACCTCTTCCTCGCAATAACCAGTCAGCCTGGGTTCATACACTTCTCGATTCACTGACCATCTTCCAGATACTTCTTCATTACTAAATCCTGTTTCGACTGGGTTTGAGATCATCAGCTAACAAGATGTTATGGATAAAGGCTTTTCGACGCTCACTTTAAGAAGCCACTATGGTGAATCTCTGGCTCAACGCGTGGTAACAGCTCATTTGGTTGATATATTCAAAGGGACGTGAAATGAAATTAGTTTCGAACCGCGGGTCCAGTACAGAAAGATTGGTCTCTGCCCTTAAAATTAAATATTTCATGAATGAACAAATGCAGCAGGAATCCGTTTTGGGATACTTTTCCTTCTTCCATACGAACAAGTTTAGTCTTCATAAGAATTAAAGGGAGGTTGGTTAGACATTAATAATCCATGAAGTATTCAAGGGACAATCTCGTTTTAATAGTCCAGTTTCTTACTTGACGAGTTAGCGATTGATTGTGAGGCCATTCGTTCAGATAGAATGGTTCAGTATTTAGTAATTTGATGGCAGGGTTTAATATGCAGAAATTCTCAGCTACGGTTTTCAAACCCCTTTAAAGGAACTTGGGGGTTAATAGTCCAAAAACGATCAAAAATTTAGAACACACATGTTGTCATTTAAGATTTCCAGTGCCAATATGAAATCTCCTTGCACTCTGCCACAAGATAAAACGAAAGGATTAAAATGGTTTATGTATTTTCAAAGAAATTGTGAATGGCTACCTCAGACAAAGTGTTTATTTCTTAAGCACAACAGCATGTGTAAGCGTCTTCAGTAAGACAAGTACTGTCATGTTTGAAACAGTATCCTAGTTATCGTTTAATTTAGGTAGAAATAACATCTACAACTTATCCTTGTCAAACTAGACAATTTTCCGAGAAGTGACTATAACCGGCTAAAAATTTTAAGAGGCGATGAGACTCAATCCAAGCTTTTTTAGGGTCATTGATAGTTAATATTTTCCCCAGACTTCTGAAGATGAATTTCGTTGATGGTTTAATGATGAATATGACCGTAACCGATATGCATCAAGTATTTCTTGGGGAGTCAATCTTCAAACGTTCGCTTTCAGATCGACTAGATAATAGACGAACTAAGACAACACCTTGAATACGCTCTTGCCAAACAAATTTTCATCTAGGAAGCTACATTTTCTGACCCAGCCTAATACTATGTCTGTTATTCACAAGTAAGTCTGCATAATTACAAAGTGAGTTATTGTATGGAGTGGAATCGTATATGCACTGTCCATGCTATAACAATACGAATACTAAGTTAAAACCTCCGGCTTTGTACTTGGGATTATCATTATTTATATTTATCATAATATTAAGAGAAGGCTTTATTGTTGTAGTTCTATGTTCCCTATATAGTAAGCTTTCTATGTACCTATTAATTATATATATATATATATATATATGTAACTGACGTTTTTCTTGCGTGTATTTATATACATATGCTTATCTATTTGTGTTTGCCCATTTTGCTTCTTATTTATTTTCATGTGTGGCTGGAGACAAATTTATTTCCAGAGGTTTGCATCTACCCGACCTCCGTCGTTCATTTATTCATTCTCATCATCGATCTGTTTGTGTATGAATGTTTGAATTAAATTATTCTGATATATTTGGAATAAGAGTTTAGCGTCATTGAATCTGTTTGAGTTCAACCTACGACAGGAATGATAAAGTTAAATCTCATCTTCGCCGTCTCTAAAAAGTCAAAGAAGGGCACCAAAACTTCATGATTAGTTGCAAGAAATAAGTAAGAGAGGTGTTTTTTTCCTTTTAGGCTTCTTCATTTGTTTATCCATTAATCAAGGGTAGGACTAGAATTTATGTAACGTTGATGATAAGACGGAATGATTTGTGACTTCATCTTGTGGAGATAGACCTGTGTGACGTCTAACCTATTCCGCACCTTTTCAGAAAGCTGATCTACATTAACTGAACTATCGGTTGAGAAACCGTAGGCCTGGATAGACGAAATATTAGTAGGATCAAATATTTAGTATCGTCAACATAGCCAACTGATGGTAAGGATAATTCATTTATGACAGCCCAGTTTCTATGTAAGAATGTTTAGTATATGTGGTGGACTGAACAAAACCAATCTCAGTGCTAATCAATAATTGTTTATTATGGAGACATTAATTGGATTTCAGAGCCACGTATGATTAATATGTGATATTTAAGCTCATCTTATGACAATATTTTTACTCGTTCTGATCCACGTAGTCGGGATGAAGTCGTTCGCGAAACAACTAGAGTTTCAACTTTTATTACATAGAATAAAATATGAAGCTGGTTACCTAACATAGACCACTTTCGTACGCCAATGGGCTACCTAGTTGGCCACGTGAGTGATATTATGTTAGCAACATTAAACTTTGACTATTTTGGATTCCGATCATATCAGTACTAATACAGACATGTAGCGGCAAATAAATTCCCAAAACAAATAATTCTGTAATTCTTCAAAATTGATGCTTTTCCCTCTAATTTTACCGGACATCTCTAACTGGTGGCTTTCGGTCACGCATCCGCACTATGCTACGCATAGCCTACAACTATTAGCCGGCTTAGATTGAACGCCTATCGATATACCGATAACTTTTCATATCTATCTTCGGACTTCTTCACTTTTGAGCTATGCTCTAGCTGGGTTAGCATAATTTGACTCTAAAACTGTCACATGTAAAAGTGTTTTAAAACCTCGAATACCCGTGGCATTTTTAGACATACACCGTTGTGGATGCTGCAAAATTCACGTCAGTTAGAAAAGTATATTTTCGAGTTTACCAAGAAAATGCGTCCTAATTATTTGATATCAGCTTGTCGAAATTATTCCTTTCTCATGTATTGAAACCCTGATCTGGAATTTCATGTCTGATGTTCGCGTGGCCTTGCATGATCAAGCGCTTTCTTCAAAGCTTGATAACCTTGAGGTGTGTTGTCTCTTTCCCCATTTTCCTTCCGGTAACCACCATTTTGTTTTATTCTTTAAGTCATTATATAAAGTTATTCAAACTATAACTCGCAACCGAGTGAAAATAGACGAACGCTTATGATTTATTAATGCTCTGTAGGTAAATAAAACAACAACGATACTTAATCTCGAATATATTTTAAAACCCACAGGTTTTCAAAAATTTTATCCAAATAAATTTCGCCTCATAACCGCCCTGGATTACAGGAAAGACGGAAATGCAAATTCGTGATATTTCTATCTGCTCTCAAATCAGGAGGATTGTTTATGGATTTATGACTGTTATTCTCGCACTGGTGTGTGATATTTTAACGAACAAACAAAAAAGTCACGGATCAATAAGTAAACAACGTAAGCATTGTAACATTTTGATCACCAACTTGTATTGTTCTACATTAAAACATCAAAGCTATTCTGGTCGTTAAGTATACATTGCCTATGGAAAGCCGCTAAGTTACAAATTCTTTTGTCATGAATTTTTAAAAATACTTGACGAACTTAACTGCTGGACCAACCTTACTGATCATAATGAGGATTTTTTTCGTTTACACATTTAACGTCTTTGGTATAACTTAACGGATAACGGAAGGCCTAGAACACAGACATACTCATAAGTTTCAAGTTGTTTTTGCATTTCCATGAAACCTATACGGAATACTCAGTAAATAATTGTGACTTAGAATGGAATCTCAGTAAACTGTGTTCTTGTCATTCTCAATTTGTTTCTACTTCGGTACCACATCTGTGTATGGTTTTGACCTTGAATAAACACAGTCCATTTATTTTGTTGTGTAAGTTGCGATTCTGTAATTTACAGATAATTCACCTCGATCGTAGCTAAGACGGCTATGTGTTCAACTATGCACGAACATTCATCAACTATCAAATGCAAGTATTAGATGTTACACGAAAGTTTTGGACAATTCCCGTTGAATATTTTTAAGAGTACCATTCTGTGTACTCGGTACTACTTCCGTGTATGTGAAAATAACTTCAAGTGATTAAAGATATTTTAATTTCTTGATGAATATAAGCTTAATATTGCATGGATTGCATTTCACAACGCATTACTGAGAAAGTGAATCTTCATTAAAAAATTCATGAGAAAAATAACCACAGGATTCTATTAGATATTTTACCATGGTTGTCCTTTGATCGTTTCTCCGATAAACGTACTTACCCTTAGTATTAATTGCAATGGTCAAAGCTTGTGGTGTCAACTTAAGTAATGGTCACCGAATGTAATAAACCAAATTAATTCACAGATTCTTACTCTGGAGTTCATTGTTTCAACATCTCGGCTCCCTTACATATATTTAATTATTCCATTTGAGTGTTTGGATATCGTGTTGAACAGTTGATCATAGACTACCTTCCAAGGACTTTCGAGCAGTTGGTTCTGAAAATCAGTTCTATATCAATAATGGTTTATATCACAAATTAGTTGTAACAAAAGTCATTTCTGCTTGCAAGAAAATCTGAATATGGACGCCTATGCTCCAGCATCCCCATAGGCTTTAATTGATATATTGTAGTCATTGGACTCTGCCTCGAAGAGTTATATTCCGGTCATTTGTCTCGAGTGTTTGTAGACAACATACCCTTCCTGATGTTCATCTCACACGTCATTGCCTTTTCACCACAGTTCCTTTACTAAGTCCAAATAACTGGGTTAACTGACAGTTAAATGTCTTCCATCTGTACTGAGTTCTCAACCAACCATTATTCTTGACTTTTCCTTGCAACCCTACTGTTGTCGGTTTTTCTCTAAATGTCTGGACGATGTTCATTTATAAGTGGTTTGCAACTGTCTCTTTACTATATTGCTTGTATGGGGTAGATCCGTCAAATGAGAAATTTTACAGTTTTAGGGCTTATAATGGTTACTTCACGTGTTGAAAAAAGCAAATCACTGGTTGTCGCGATAATATGTTAGGTCAATTAGATTTCGATTGGGAAGACATTAACAGTGGTCATATACGAACAGCGTCACATCCTAAAGCTAATAATGACTGATCTAACCCATGTGGCTAAGTACAGATTCGTTAGGCTTTTTGGGGGGAGGGGTCATATAACTAATCACAATGGGACAAACGCATCTATCTCTTTCTAAATCTCGATGTGATAATATAAATTTTACAATCCTCACTATTCAGGTGCATTAGATGAACTACGTGCGATTCGTGAGAGTGGTCTTCGAGAAAACGAGAAAGTTATTGACCTATGGAAGTTATCCCTTTGTGATCATATAGACAAGCTGGGTTATGAAAGTATGTGAATATTTAGTTTCCTATAATATAATTATTTTTGAGTTTTGTAACTGTAGATGAAAGCACTTTCGTGGTGCACCGTTTTCAGGTTGATATTTACCAAATAACTACTATTTGGTAGTATTTATCGAATATTAATTTCTTGATTTGAAGTTTGGACGAGACTCTAATTTATGAACGAGCCAATCAGAAGCGTTTAAGAGATTTCAACGTTACGGCGCCAACTTCAGTACTTAATGCCAACGTACGATCGGTTCACAGGGAATTTTGTAAAAAAACGTGATAATTGAGCGGCTATAACAAATAAAACGGCGACATTATAATTTGTGGATGAATCAATCAGGTACAAGATAATAGATCTCGGATTTTGGCGTGAAAGCCTCTCATCCATTTGAATAAATAGATTTCTGGAATTATAGCTGATGTCAGCTCGTAGTGAAAACCCTACATATAATTGCTAACTAAGACAGATTACGACAATTATTGCGAACTGGATAATAAAAGCACCAGTAACACTGGCTGCAGCCAGGTACTATCATATGTACGGATGTTTGGAAAGCGTACAGACTCCTACGTAGGCTTGGTTATGTGCATCGTGTCGTTATCCACAAGTAGAATTTTGTGCACTCAACAACCGGAGTGCACATAAACAATATTGAAGCTATGTGGTCGAGGCTGAAAGAGTTTACGAGACTTTATCATGGCTCCAGAGGCCGACTGTTCTGTAGCCATACGGATGATTTCCCATACTTCATGTATTACGATTTTAGGACCTGTGAACCTCTTTCTAATCTTGAAAGGTTTTTGAACCACGAATAGGAAGTGTATCCACTTTATTTCCTTGATTTTGTATAACATATTTTTTACTCTACTGACTGTTTGCTGATTCACTAATATTTCTCAAGGTCACTTAAGATTCATTCAAAGGTCGTCCATAAATTAGAGTCCCCCCGAAGTTTGTCAACAGCGCGAATCAAATGAAGTTATATGACTTGCTGTTTGTGTTTGTGGATTCTATTAAGGATATATGGAATACAGGCTTTAGTATTTTTTTCCTCTGTTAGTTTGTCTTCAGCAACAACAATTCCCAATCACTTCGAGGAATTCTGATTCTAAACTGTAAATTCACTTTTGATGGATAAAAATGAATGATTTTGCACTTCAGTCTAAAATTTGTTTTGCATCTTATAGAATTTTTGTCCTCAAGTGTTAAGACAGCTACTTATCGGCTCACGTTTCTTGTTTATAACATTCAACCTGATTAAATACCTTGTTCATACAAAATGATAAGCCTCATAGCTATAGTTAGTAGTGAGCATGATTACTTCTAGGTCGTTTCACTAAGTATTTTTTCGTATTTCCACTAACCATCGGTATAATGCATACGGGCATTAAATCAGAACATTCAGTTTAATGTCACCCAGCCTGAATTTACAAATGATTAAGTCATAATTTGCAGTAAAATACAAGCCAATCTAAATGCATTTGTCTGGCTGAGGGTCAGTGTTCAGAAGTACAGTTTATACTTCGTCCCATCAAACTTTTAATTGCTACTTAGATAAAAATAAATTTGGTTAATTTTTATCTATTACTTTTGATAAATTATAATCAGCTTATACCATCACACCTAATTTGCTAACAGACCCTCAAATCTTCGGAACGACGTTGGTTTGATCATATCATTCTTTTCTCCAATCACTTGTCTTATTCTCAGTAGATGAAAACCAACATGAAGTGCTCATAGTCATCCATGTTGTTGACATATTTTCAGTTAATTATTTTCCTAAACAACATCTTTTAATATTGTTCTTTTCTTACAGAGTACTCGATTTTGGAACAGGTGTTCATCGCCGCTCTAGATATGGGAGATGATGATTTAGCTTGTGTAAGTTTTGTCGTTTCTAATATCTTTCGGTGTTGATTAAAACTACATTCATCTCGTCTAAAATCTTGTTATACTGTTAATTATCTTATTATCCGTCTAACTGTCTGATGTAACGACGAAAAGAAAGAACAAATACTTGGGTTGTATTGGGGCCAGTATGATCAAACCGTCATTGTAGCAACGATTGAGTTCTTTAGTCCGATTTGATTAGTTCCCCCATATTATCTGTAAGACTGGTGACCTATCTCTCAAATGACACAGCAACCAATGAACAAAAACCAAGACCTCAAAGCTTACTGGTACTAAGATACGCGAACAGTGCTTCAAAGAAACCTATGATCGAAAATACGAAGCCTGCACACATGATCTATTTTCATAGACTATGTCCTACATATATAAAGTAATACAGAGCATGCTGCTGAGTGTTATACATTCTTTTTGTTTGGTAGGCAGATTTGTCTACGTCACAACTGACTCATGTTGGTGAACGCCAAGCCAGGTTTCTGAAACTGTCGAGATTTTGTGAATATCCAGTCGATACACCCACGCGCAGGTCTAAAACTGCCTTAATTTTTAAGAAGACATTCTAGAGTAGTAGTTGAGCGTCCGATGATTGTAATGGCTAGTATTTGGACATTGTTAGTTAAGCTAATTTATCTGTGGTTATCGTGAGAAGGCTTCAGTCCTTTCTTATGAACTAGGATCAAGACCACTCAGTTGGGATTACTTTCAGCTCATAAGCTCTTACTAATATCTCGGTAAACTTAGTTGCTAAAACTAAATCGTCGCCTGTAAAAATCTTCAAAGTCACCCTATCAGGCCCTCTCGCTTTCCCTTACAGGTTAGATATTACCTTTTCAAATAAGAGTTAACGAACTTGTTTTAATTCCCCATTTAGGTTGTTTGAAAATAATGAATAACTAAAGGGTGGCTAGAGGATCGCTAGATCATTCCTTAAAGTGTTCTGCCCAGTATTTTAATAGTCTGTACTGAGAGTGAATTCTGGTTCCGCCTTTTTGTGAAATAGTCCCATTCGCAGTCAGTTTTTAATACATATTCCATTAAAGAGTCGGAATTGTTGTTTAGTGTTTTGTATGGTCACTTCCTTTTTCATCTCTTTTGTTGTCCACTATTAATTACGTTAGTGTATGTTGGAGTCTTCGTCATTTTTTTCAACGTTTTATGAGCTTGCTGAGATGTGTTTCCGGGTATCTAACCATTCAGTAGATTCCACCGAAACCAAACAATCTTTCCTAGCATTTTTGTTTCCATTGATGATAAACCAATTTTGTACCTACGGTTGTTTGACTATCATGTCGAGCTTCCTGATAATGAAATTTTGCTTTCTGGTCGATCAAACGCTTAGCTGATTCTTCCTTTAGTTCATTGTTGAACTTTTCACTTTTGTATCAATATTTACCTGTTATGATTTTCTTATGATCATAAAGCGCATAGAATTGCGTTTTGTCACTTGGCCATTTACTCTACTTGGGGCGGCAGTTTTTTATAAATCCTTTCCAATGATGGCTAATGGCAGCATGGTTTATTTGTGTCCATCGTGTTGATGTTGGGGGTTACTAGGTTATATTGTCTGTCCTTATGCTTAAAGTTCGCACTTGCTAATAGACGGTCACCACTTTTTGTTTGTTGGACTGGAACTCCGTAAGACCCATCTAAGTACTTTCCAATTTGACTTATTCTACCTACTTAGGCGTTAAAATCATCCAACACAGTTACCACGTCTTAGCTCCGTGCTTTCTGAAGGGTGTTAGAAAGCTTGTGGAACTCATCTTTCACTTCATCCGACCTCCAGTTGTCTTTGGCATGGGCAAAAAGCGATAAAGAGACAACAGTTTGTGTCTTTATCTTTCGATATCTTACTGTGCCATTAAGACGGACAGCATATCAACGACCGTCAACGGGAATGCATTCAAGAAGTGCTTGACGAAGAAAAGTTGCTGCTGTGTCTCCAGATATTTGAAGAGTATGTTGCATTACCTCTCTGTATTTGTTTAGTGAGGCTAAGTGTATGGCTGTAAGTGAGGATTCGTTATGTTAACGTAATGTGAAACCAGTACTAACTAAAGCGGATACCAAGATTGCAGGTTCCTCTAATAGGCTCACATGAAGCTAACGTTTGTGGTTGACAGATGGAGAACGAACTTGGGATGCCTCACTAGAGTCTTGAATACGAGTATCAGAGAAATAACAAAAGTCTATACTAAAAATTTCCGAATAAACAACCAAACCTCTCTGTTCGATTCTCATCAAAGTTCTAACGTTGAAAGAGGCAAGTTCAATTCTCACAAATGACTTTAGGGAAGTTGTTTTCACATTTCGTATTTGATGATGTCACCCTTGTAATTAACCATTCAGCCACCTGGAACCGTTTAGGTAGAACAGAACTTCCTACAAAAGCGAATTGTGTTATTTACCTCTAAATTTACTTCGAGCCATTGTATATCCGTATTCCCGTTTTTCATTTAAAACAGCATAGTTTCTTTTTATTAGAGAAGTTAGAGTATGTCTAAAATATATGTCTTCTTGTTAATGTACACATTTATAGGAATGTCTTGATCGTCTTTTGGCAAAATTTCGTAATAGTTGTCGTGTTAATCGTCTTTTTGGTATGTACTTAGAAAGTAAAGGAAAGTAAGTGGATCAATAATGCTTTTTGGATCTTGATTGACACGTTGTCTTTATTTATGTGTCCATGTGTTTGTTCCCTTTTTCTCGTACAGATCGTTTGTCATTCTTCCATAACTCTGTATACAATTCTCTTATTTTTTTAATGAGACAATGAGTTTGAAGGAATTTCTTTTGAGAGGGGGGCTACTGTATTCTCTGTGCACTAATTTTGGGAAGATTTTCAACTATGAGAATATTTTTATATAATTCTAGACAAGTAGTATAATATAATCTGTTAGCATTTATCTCTTGGTTGCTATCGAAATGTGCCATTAATTTCTCTCGTGCACTAAAATTTAGTGTTGAGCAGAAATAGAATGAGGGATGTGTCAGTGAAGAAGTACAAAATGCTTAGTATTATCTATAAATCATGTTATCATTCAAGATATCGTTCACAAAATTTTGTAGTTTATTCATAGTAATTGTAAAGTCTAACAAGAAGCTTGAATAACTATTGAAGGTAACCGATCTGTTCATAAATCCATCTTACTTTTGTATAATTATTTAAGAGTATACACAACTTAACCATGGATTAATTGTGTCAAGTTAGTAATAAGTTAAAGAATATTGATTTATATTCAGTTGAGCTTCAATTGTAAATTAATTTAAATGTCCGTTTGAGAGTTGATAAGATAAGACACGTTGTTATATCCTGGCGAGAATTATGAATGGTAACTTTTAAGAACTATTTGTGGACAAATATTATACGTATATTCTTAATCTGTAACTATTCAGTAGTCAGATTATGTGTATCTATCCTCCTGTTATAAACTTTACTTTGACCTATAAACTATTATACGTTTTGCCGTTCTTGAGTTATCCTCAGCCTATTAATTACAGTCTCCCATATTGACAGCCACTTTTGGCTAGATCTTGTACAAATGTATATTTTCCATTTTGTGGTGCGATGTGGTCTGTTTGGTTTGGATATAAACCCAGTATATTCGAAATACATGATTCATATCGCTGACCCTGAGATTGGTGTTCTGGACTGAACGGGCTGAGCTAGGTGAGAAGCTACTATACACAAAACTAATAAGGACTCTGAGTTGACTCAAGGCTATTCGTGCTGGTCAACGCATCACTGATTTAGCAAAGAAAAAGTCACATAAGTCAGTATTTTGATTGGCGATCTTGTCACATGATATTTGGTGGGCCAGAGGATATAACAAATATGTGTGTAATATTAAGCATTCTAGAGTACTTTTCCATTCAATTAATATGTGAGTGCTGCGTGTAGGAGCATAACTTTCATTGAGGATATCATTTTAATCTCATATTTTCAGTTTCCTTACTCTTTCATCCGGCAAGTTAAGATGCGCTCTGGCGGTGTCTTCATAAAACAAATATGTAGATAGCTTTATATGTTTCGAATGAAATCCCTAATGAAAACTGTGCTCTTATATCCAGGACTTACCCACTAAATAAACAGAAAGGTACTTGAAAATACCAGACATCTTAATTTTATTGAACATCGAAAAAAGGATGGTTGTACTCAAATGAGGTGATGCTTGACGCTACATGGTTTATAACTGATTATAATGTTATATGATATTAAAATGTTTTTATTTGTTAAGTAAAATATCGTTTTTCCTGGTTGTGTGAGTATGTACTTCCTTTTTGTTTACAAAAGCTTCGAAGATGCTCAGAATGTGTACTCGAAACTCATAAAAGATGATCCAACTAATACAGTAAGTAGTATTTGTGGATGTTAAGTTCTGCGTATACATACAGTAGAGCATTTGTAGTATTGAACTTATTTTAACTTTCTAATTTTACAGTATTTTTAATTGTTAGCTGCATTTTAATCAACCTACATGAATATATTATTCTTTAAACTGCGTTCACCGAATGGAACTGATAGTTTCTGTCACCAACTTGAATCATATAAGATGTGAAGCTAAAGACTAAGATGCATAGAACATTCAGATTTATTTTCTTTTGAAACTGATTATTGATGGATCCCTGTTGTATGGTAGTGAAAGTGAAACATGGTTGATCACTGATTGTAGACAAACAGATGCTTAGCCTACTGACTATTAAATGTGATTTCTACTCTGAACTCACTGAGCGTAACTGCTTGTAACCATGTTGAATAAAGTAGTATTTAGTGGTAATCTCGCTCTTTATTTTTATTCATGAATCCCGGATTTGATATAATGTGACTAGTCTTATTATCGTATTAACGTATTATCATAGTTACGCTTGAAAGAGATAGAAAGAGAAATATTTTAAACCATCCGTTATATCAATACTTTATACTTTTAAGAAGAAACAAACAAGACCTTCAGGTTTTGTTGACTTCCAATTAAGGAATTGAAATCAACCGATGATCATTTATTAAATGATCAGATTTGTACTGCTTCATGTTTAAAATATTATTGCTAAAATCTTACGTGAGCCGACAATTTATTGATCACCTTTGAGTGACGCTGGACTGACCTTGAGAATATCCACCTACTAACTAGGACTAAATGACGGTTATGAACCAATGTGAGAAATTAGAATTATGATTTACAACTGATGGTTAAGGTTAGGAATTAGATTTAAGGTTTTCATCGCGAACTAACATAAGCTAAAGTGCTGAAACGCTATTTAACCATATGGATGAATAAATTTTGCGTGAAAATCCAAGGCCTGTTATCTTATACGTGATTGGTTTGTTCATAAATTATAGTCTCACAGAAACTTTAATAAGTTAATTATCATCGTTTATTAGTATGATTCAAAATGCTCCTAGATATATGAATTTGTTTGATATTCTTGAGTGAAGAATAAGAGAGCTGGTCAATTGAAGTATCAAGTTTAAGTTTCACTGTTCCAGAATAAATACGTTTGATACGCGTTATTCATTGATAAACAATGTTACAAAGTAATGTTGTATACAAAGAATAGACCTTAATGAACAAACGAACCAAATAACTAAATCATCAATATAGTAGTGTAATTCATTTACCCAGTACAAGATTTTGTACTGTTTTTTTTTGTGGTGCATTTTTAATATTTGTAGACTATACTAATACTATTGCTATCGAGTCCACTTGAATCGAAAGTAGATAATGTCGGGTTTTAATGTGAAATGTATTAATTGGAACCCAATAACTGTAAGGAATAACCCATTGGGTTCACATTTTATTGTAAACTAATACTATGTTCTATACTCGTATTTTGATGGAGTTTTATTCTTTGAGTTGGATAGTTTAGTCGTGGAGCTTTCGTCTGAACTTTGTGCTCTTACATGGCCACGCGTATATAGCCTCTGCCACAGAAGTCCTACTCACTGCCTACCCTCACCGCGGTGTTGTTTACGAAAATGAGAGGACGAAAAGCAAATGTCCGGCGTTTTAACTGGATTCCTAACCAATGGTGCACATCGGCTCCAGTATCCTGCGGGAACAAACGGCGTATGAACCAATTGTTGGTCACCGGCTACCATAAGACTGCATCTCCTTACGATGCTCCACTGCCTTGTGGATCACACTTTCAGGTCGAAGGCTCCGAGTGTGGCCTTCTAAGTAAACCACCTGCTTCGGTTTGGGCACCCGGTCAGTATCACAGCCCTCACACATATCGAATGAGATTTGTGTGGCGCATATGTATTTGGTGCCTCCTTGTACCAATATCTATGTGTTAAAATAAATAAATAAATGTGCTAATGATATCGTTCAGAAAAACGATGAAAGCTCTATGCTCAGACCATCCAGCTCAAAGAACAAAACTCCATCAGAATCATCCATCTGATCTAAAAATCTTCTCCATCATCTCTTTGCTCATATATGTTCTTCTCATTTAAATATTATCTCAAAAGTGATAACTCATCTACTATAGAAATCTGTTTCTAAATTGTTCACTTTCCACTTATCACCAGTTCATGGTTGTGTTAATTCATTTCAATAATGAATTAGATATATTTAAGCACAGTTTGCAATGTATCACAGTTATCATTAAGTGAATAGATAAATCAGATAGATATTATTGTTACCTTATGTCGTATGATTGTATTGATGACAATTTATATATTAAGTTGTATTTATCGGGTTTTGTTTTCTTAATTTCGATAATATGAGGTATTGTGACGGGTAATGTCCGGCGTAGACTTCAAGTGTGTGTGTGTGTGTGTTATATACATATATGCCTTCAGATTTGTATATAATATCACTATTATTATTATTATTATTATTATTATTATTATTCAATGTGCATACTTTTTTTCCATTTTGGGTTAATTTCATTTAGTTGGCCCGTAAACGAATGATTACAATTTTAATAGCCCAACAGAAAATACCCGAAGCCATTAATGAATTAAGAGAATACTTAAAAATGTAAGTTTTAACATAACGTATATATATATATTACTACATATTAATTATTATGTCATATGGAACGTACCAAGTTATCAAAGCGTTTTAAATTATTTCAAGACAAATTCAAGAGTAGTAGAAGCAATAACAGTATCAATAGTACTATTGGAAAAGATTAAGTGTAGAAAACAAAATATGTAAGTAGAGTTCTGAACTCAGATTCTGATGAAAGACAGTAAATGAAGGCATCTGCACCATTGTGAACGATTCTGAGGGCTCAGTTGAAAAGTCAGTCTTCATGGATTGATATCATGTCTGAGTTTGAAAGAATCTAACTTTTTTCTAACCTACTCTTACACAAGACAACAATAGTCGGTAGATAGGGGCATGGAAATATACATCCCAACCACAATTCAGTCGATAAACATTCACTACCTAGTCAATCCATTTTGTCATACTTATCTAGTACTCTGAATCTAACCTCCGAATTGCTCTCTCCGCAGTCCCGAAATACACGACCAATCATTCAAAATATCTATGGTCGAATACTAGTAATCAAAGAATATCCTCTGTTTTTAAGGGTTACGTTTCACATGCGTAGAGTAGAACGGAGAGAACTGTTGCACAGTAAACTTGTCATTTAGTTTGGAAATGGATATCTCGTCTATGATACAAGTGATGCATGTTAGCAAAATCGAAGGGAACTTTTTAAATCCGTGCCGACATCTCGTCAGTCACTAACTCATCAGGAGTGATGAGACTTCCAAGATGAAATGATCTATACTTCGAACTACTTCACTTCCTATCATTAGTTTAGGTGTTGATCCAAACCAGTCCTGAAGCAACATTTTATATTTAGATGGAAAGAAGCGCATCCCAAGTATGCTTATATTGTTCCCCAAGCTGGCCAGAAGACTACGTTTTTCCAACGTCTTCACCAAATAGGACTGTGTTACGCGTGTATTATAAGTTAACTAGTGAATCATAACACCGGAAAAGTCAGACGATTAGATCATTATCTTTAACAGAATTTCGATGACAAATTTAAGTAAAAATAGAGAAAGTGAACGACTTTGACGAAATTACTTGATCACAGTTCACCATAATATCTCTCTCAACCATAAGCTTTCCAGTGAATGATCTATGCAAGGACAATTTACTTTCATTTAAAGACACTGCCACTGCACCTTTCGATCAACAAATTCGAATGGGTGGATTTAGATCAAGGAATACAACTGTGTATACGTCCCAGGACCTGCTGTATGATAAAGATTTGGTATAAATCTACATTTGTAACTAGCCTGTTTCTCCTAGGTCTGCTTTGCACAAACTCTAGTTATACATCAGATTATTATTGAAGTTCAGATTTTAGATACAATTTTAGTAAAAGTGATTCTTCAGTGATTGTTATAAGAGGGTTTATGTCCCTTATAAATTGAAACGATATTGTGGTTTTCGTTGAGTAGAATAACACTGAAACGCTTGTTTCTTTTAACGCTTTGATTGAATATTTTACTCCGTTTACATATTCTCCTTCCAGATTAACTGTGTTTTTTGTTTCACTAATAACTAATACATAGTTATAGATAAACTGATGAACAATTGTTTCCTCCTACTATAGAAATTATTAGAATTTTATATCTAAAATCTTTCATTTAAGAATTTAATTGCCGATAGATTTTATTATCAGTTGGTTCATGATATGAACCAAATAATCTGGTGAAACTATAATTTATGGATCACTTTTGAGCGACGCTATACTGACCTTGTGAATGTTTACCTGATAACTAGGACCAAATGAGGGTTATACATTGGTGTGAGGAATTTGAATTATGATTTATAATTAATTGTTAAGGTTAGGAATTAGATTTAAGGTTTTCATCACGAACTGATATTAGCTATAATGCCAAGACTCTATTTAACCAAATGGATGAGTGGATTTCGCGCCAAAATCCAAGACCTGTTATCTTATACGTGATTGGTTGGTCCATTAATCATAGTCTCGCTAATAATCTGTTTCCTTTCACTAACATTTATTATTATTTTTTGCGATTAGTGTAGGGGAGTTTTTGTTGTGGTTGTAGAATTTTCAAAGTTTTCAAATCATAAGTTAATCTTAGCTAGACTACCATTAAAAACCTAGAAGCACTGGACAGTTGTGTCGTTCTAGTATGGAAGAATCCTTAACAGTGTTGTTATAACGTGTGACCGCTGATTAGAGAGTAGCGACTTATCGATCGAATCAGTGACGCGTTTTTTTTATTTTAACACATAGATATTGGTACAAAGAGGCACCAAATACATATGCGCCACACAAATCTCATTCGATATGTGTGAGGGCTGTGATACTGACCGGGTGCCCAAACCGAAGCAGGTGGTTTACTTAGAAGGCCACACTCGGAGCCTTCGACCTGAAAGTGTGATCCACAAGGCAGTGGAGCATCGTAAGGAGATGCAGTCTTATGGTAGCCGGTGACCAACAATTGGTTCATACGCCGTTTGTTCCCGCAGGATACTGGAGCCGATGTGCACCATTGGTTAGGAATCCAGTTAAAGCGCCGGACATTTGCTTTTCGTCCTCTCATTTTCGTAAACAACACCGCGGTGAGGGAAGGCAGTGAGTAGGACTTCTGTGGCAGAGGCTATATACGCGTGGCCATGTGAGAACATCTGGAGAGAGAGAGCGGACTCTTCCCACTCTCGGCCGTACAAGGGCGTAAACCCGTGTGAGCAGTCTAGAACTCTGATTGGCCCTGCGCATCCACAAAACCCTATAATAATAAACATGCGCTCATTAGTGATTAAATTTAATGTGTCATTCCTGGAATTCTAGTGAGAATCCATGACTGTTGGTTTTCAACTATGCCGCATATGTTACAATTATTCACCTTAAGCAATGGATGACAGTTGTAAAATATCGTTAATTAATTTTTGTTTTTGTGTTGGATAGTATGATTTTAAAGGAATTTTTCTTCTTAATTCATTATGAAATGTCGTAATTAGATGTGAGCTCTACTAAATTGAGAATGTAAACTGCGATACATCAGTACTACGTACTAGTGATAATTGTAGAACTGTGATAATTTATCTTCAAGTTTCTTTGAATGTTATTAATGAATTGTAAGAATTGGGTTATTATTCTCTCAATGGTTCATTTACCTATTCCAGTTAAAACAGACTGTGTTTTTTTCTCTAACTATAAATTATGTTTTGCTGGTTCATGTTTTTGTTTTGTATTTTGTTGTTATGACCTTTGTACAATAAACTTGGAATGGATTTTTTGTTGTTGTTGAGAGAAAAAATGAAATAAAATAATTTACTATCCAGTCATAGTGATAACGGATTTTTTATTGATCCGATTTATTAAGCATGTACATTTTTAAATATTGTGATTTTATAAAAAAGAATGAGTTTGACTATGAAATAGATAGATAGATTCTATCAGTCGGTCAGCTACAACGTAGGACCAGGCACATATATGCATCGGTCCAAGTTGCCATACCTCATTAACACAACAAGATGGACACCGGAGTCATAAAATTAGTTAATTCAGTGGTGGTAATATATAAAAGAAAGATTGAAATAAGGATATAGTACAGGAAGAAAGAATTAGTTCGTAGAAAGAAAGATATGAAGCGATTTTAATTTCTTAGTTTAAAGGAAGACAGAGAGTGTATACACCTACACCATTGTGATCGATTCTGAGCCATCTCACTTAGAGTCTCCAACTATTGGTTACGATAGTCACGCGGACCCCAACCAAGTAGTTTGTATCTACCAACATGGCTAAGACTAGAAGTGAGTGACTTCAAGCACTGATGCCACGATAGATTCTATAATTTGCATTGTATAACAACCGATTGTTTGTTTCCAAACTTAAATGATATCCTTGTTGTAAGTAAAGGTTTGTGTTTTCTCTATGTTGTGTTGAATTTTTTTGGTTACACAGTTTTTATTTATTTATTTGAACACATAGACATTGGTACAAAGGTGCATCGAATACATATGCGCCACACAAGTCTCATTTGATATGTGTAAGGGCTGTAATATTACTCGGGTGCCCAAACTGAAGCAGGTGGTTTTCTTAGGGCGCCACACCCACAGCCTCCGACCTAATAGTTTGATCCACAATGCAGTGGAACAACGTCAGGAGATGCAGTCCCATGGTAGCCGGTGATCAACAATAGGTTCATAATCCATTTGTTTCCTCAGGATCCTGGAGCCCTTGTACATCATTAGTTTGGAATATAGGTGTTCCAACTCCTCTAGGTGAACCCACCGTTTTCACCAACCTGGTGAAAGCACCGGATATTCGCTTTTCGTCCTCTCAATTTCGTAGACAACACCCCTGACAAGAGAACGCAGTGAGTAGGACTTGTGTATCAGTAGTTTTACGCACGTGGCCATATGAGAGCATCTGGAGAGGGAGAGCAGACTCTCCCCGCCCTCGGCCGTATCAGGGTGTGAATCCAACTACTCAAATGGGACGTCAAAAAATGATATATATTAATTATGATTTATCAACATTTCAACAGGTTTAAACGTACTAATTAAACTATCTCGGCATCTGTACTTAATATACTTTCAAAGTATTAGTCTACTTAAATTCATTTAAGTAGTCTTAAAACAATGTTTAAGAAAATAAAATGATTTGTTATTTCAAATATCTTTTTTGTTTCCGTATAGTTTTATGAGCGATTTTGAAGCGTGGAATAAATTAGCTGACCTTTATCTATACGAATGTGACTACAAACACGCTGCGTTTTGTATGGAAGAAATGATTTTGTCTAATCCTTCTAATCATCTCTATTATCAACGTTATGCTGAGGTAAGTTTATCTAGTTGTCAGTTTTAGCTGCATAGTTCATGTCTAATCATTCTTGTTTCATAATGTGACATGAAGTTTAGTTGCGTTTCCACGAATAAATAAAATTTTTGGATTATTCATTCATCATAAGTAAGGGAATCGTGTGCAAACTAATTTGCGATTTCCTCAGATTCATATAAACTACCACTAGTGTTACTCTTTCAAAGAGTTTCCATTTCAGTCCTAACTTCAAAATTTTCCAGCACTCTCATTATTTTTCGTAAGTTGCCAAGCTTCGGTGAGTTATGGATGTCTATACAAAAGTGTTTTAATACACTAAATGATCATATTTAAGAGTTTCAATTTTGCATAGCAGATTTGTATGTCGATACAGTTGTTGATCCGTTGAAAGCATCAATTTTATTGTTTTTGGCGAGTTCATCTTGAGCACAACATTTTTTTTCTAAAGAAATGTTCTTGATCTCTTTAAATGTAAAATATCTTTTACTTTTGATGGAATGTTACTTCAATGTGTTCGTTGAAATGTTCTATTGCTCTGCTATCCTAAAAATGACTAATTTATTCTTTTGAAAACTAGTAACTATATTATTTAATTAGAGGTCGTCATGTTTTGTGTTTGATCTGGATATCCTGGACATATTTAACTGCACAAATACTTTACGCTGACAATAATTATCTGCTCACTAGCAACCAGAAGAAGAATTTTTATTAGTTTTATGAAAAGCTGTAAATGTTGGGAGTCAATTAAGTATAGAGTGATACAACTGTCATTGATAGCATCGGGTAATAAGGTAGAGAATCCCAACTCATTGGTATATAGGTAAGGCGCTTGCCACGAGGATTAATTGTTGTTTGAGTCCCTGACAGGGTGGTACATGCGTACAGCTGACGAGTTCCGATCCACCATGAAACAGCTACCCAGCTACCCCTAATTTCCAGTAGTTGTTTGACTATAGTCAGTTCATGGTATAATTTATCTGCAAATACTATTTATAAACATAATATCTAACTATTTTTACTATCGTTGTGATTTTTTGTAGTGTTCATTTACTAAGTACGGGTTTGTGCACTTGAGTTTGATTCCACACTGTCTAGGAATTTCTAAAACTATCCACCCATTTACACTGAATTGGTTGGGACAGGATCAGAACTTTTAAATTACTGATTGAAGGCTGAAAATCAAACTAAACTCATTTGGTTTAGAATTTAGATTCTTATTACCTTACTATCAGTGAAAATTGTAGGGTAGAACGTATTACTAGTTATGCATTCACTATGTTAAATTGTAGGTTACTACTTTTACTTCCAGTTTTCAACTGATTCTAAGAGAATTATAACTCAGTAGATTCAGACTTTGATAGGGATTAGTTTCAAATGATTTCTACTATTTGTAGTCGGTACTGAAATCCGATTCTTCGGAGTGTTTTCTTATCAGAATATATTTTGGATATTTTTACATTGTTCACTTCTGTGATTAGTACTGCCTGTTATTTGGTGGCAATAAATGTATTTCACTGAGATCATGGACCAATCGATCTTAGACCACCATTAAAAACCTGGGAGTACTGGATGGCCGTTTAGTTCTACAGTGGGACTCTTCAGCAGTTCTTACACAGAACTTGAACTCTGGTCTCACGCGCGAACGTCTAGCCTCTAGACCACTAAGCCGGGATCCGACGATGTTAATATCGAACTTCAATCAATACGCGATATTGCGCGACCATCTTTCGGAACAATGTGCATCGCATACAGTTGACAGGTCTCTTACTGGAATGCTTATTACTGACTTCGTAGACGCTTCCTATAAATCTAGATGTCTTCTACAACTCTACAAAGCGCGGAGTATGAGTACAGCCGGTTAAAGCGCAGGATATTCGCTTTTTGTTCTCTTAATTTTGTAAACAACGGTAATGCCGCGAGAAGGCAGTGAGTAGAACTTGTGTGGTAGTGGTTGTATGCATGTGGCCATGTGAGAGCAGAAGGAGATATGTCCCTCCCCGCTCTCGGCCGTACCAGGCCATTTGGGGGCTTAAGATATAAGAGATAGAAAATGTATTTAACTGTTGTGTTTGAACTGGAAGCAAAAAATAGAACTGTTCATTAATTCTGTTATCTATGTCAAATTATCCCATTTCTGTTCATCTTGTTGTGTTATTAACGTATGGAAACTTGAACCAATGCATATTTATATGTGCCTCGTCCTACATTGTAGCTGACTAACTGACTGTGTAATACCTAACAAATTAAACTAAATCAAAGCTAATTTTGAACATGTTCATTTTGTATATTTGATTTCGTTTTTCATTACTTCTTCAGATTAAATACACCGAAGGTGGAACAGAAAATTTAGAATTAGCCAGAGCTTATTATAGTCAAGCTTGTCTATTGTGCCCTAATAACCTTCGTAGTTTATACGGACTTCTACTTGTAAGTCAATAGTTTTTTTATTCGATGTATTGACTGTTTCGATTTTTGCATTTTTTTATTCAACGTCAAGTACTGTTGTGTTTATTTCGGTCTGATCGACACCAGATCAACTCATTTATACAAAGGAAGAAACTAAATACTACATAAGAAGCTTTATTGCTAATAGTCGAACTAATCCAGTCTGGAAAGTGTGAGTGGAACCTTTGACTGGGTGAATAGTTCAATCATTCACCATTAACCACCCATCTGCAATGTCACATTGATACAGCATGCGATCTATCTAGCCTCATTTGATATATCATTTATTTAGAAGAAAAAGCCTAGTATAATCGTACAATCGATTTATAATACTATAAATGTAATTCGTTTATCACATAATACACAAAAGCAATCACGGTGAGAAATAAAGCTAAAAGATGGCTAGTTAACATCCACTCTTACCCATCGTAGAAACAAATCTTTGTAACTAAGCAGATCTATTAGTTTGATCATGTTCAGTTTATGTTATTTCATTAGTGTTACATTTCCAGTACTAGTAGCTTTGAAAATTGTTCCAGACATCTGTGTATGGTTTCTATTTCTAATTTTAACAATAGCTAACCAGTCATAAAATCCCGATGAAACGTATAAGGATAACCATCCTTTTTCAATGTTCAATAAAAATGTGATGTCTAGCATTGCTGAACATTTTCCCGTTGATTTAGTCTATCAGTATTGTATATAAAACTGTAATTTTAACTTCAGGTTCCACTTTAATTACCTAAAGGTACCTACCTGATAACTAGAGTTTGTGCAAAGCAGACCTAGGAGAAACAGGCTAGTTACAAATGTAGATTTATACCAAATCTTTATCATACAGCAGGTCCTGGGACGTATACACAGTTGTATTCCTTGATCTAAATCCACCCATTCGAATTTGTTGATCGAAAGGTGCAGTGGCAGTGTCTTTAAATGAAAGTAAATTGTCCTTGCATAGATCATTCACTGGAAAGCTTATGGTTGAGAGAGATATTATGGTGAACTGTGATCAAGTAATTTTCGTCAAAGTCGTTCACTTTCTCTATTTTTACTTAAATTTGTCATCGAAATTCTGTTAAAGATAATGATCTAATCGTCTGACTTTTCCGGTGTTATGATTCACTAGTTAACTTATAATACACGCGTAACACAGTCCTGTTTGGTGAAGACGTTGGAAAAACGTAGTCTTCTGGCCAGCTTGGGGAACAATATAAGCATACTTGGGATGCGCTTCTTTCCATCTAAATATAAAATGTTGCTTCAGGACTGGTTTGGATCAACACCTAAACTAATGATAGGAAGTGAAATAGTTCGAAGTATAGATCATTTCATCTTGGAAGTCTCATCACTCCTGATGAGTTAGTGACTGACGAGATGTCGGCACGGATTTAAAAAGTTCCCTTCGATTTTGCTAACATGCATCACTTGTATCATAGACGAGATATCCATTTCCAAACTAAATGACAAGTTTACTGTGCAACAGTTCTCTCCGTTCTACTCTACGCATGTGAAACGTAACCCTTAAAAACAGAGGATATTCTTTGATTACTAGTATTCGACCATAGATATTTTGAATGATTGGTCGTGTATTTCGGGACTGCGGAGAGAGCAATTCGGAGGTTAGATTCAGAGTACTAGATAAATATGACAAAATGGATTGACTAGGTAGTGAATGTTTATCGACTGAAGTGTGGTTCGGACGTCTATTGCGTGCCCTTATCTACCGACTGGTTCGGCCATTGGTGTTGTCTGGTGTAATAGGAGTAGCTTAGAAAAAGGCTAGACTCATCCAAACTAAGACATGAAATCAATCCATGAAGAGTGACTTTGAGACTGAGCGATGGGTTCAGCGTGATTGTTGTAACCAACGGCTCAAAATGGTGCAGATGTATTCACTCTTGATCTTCTTTCAAATTTTAAGCTTTGTAAAGTCTTCATAAATTTACTATTTTTTATTTCATTAATATTTCTCGAATCGTATCCTCGATGCCTAACCTTTTCTACCGTTGCTAGTAGTGTTACTACCTCTATCATTGTGGGATTTGCCTTAAACATTCCATCTTTCTGCGACAATAGTCTTGGAACTTGATTGAATACAAATATAGGCCATGTCCTATATTGCCTCCGACTGACTGATTGTCTAACTGTTCATTGAAAAGTAACTGTTATGACCTTGGTTGTCTGACTTTTCGATCACACGACTTATCTACCAATCCGAATACGACTTATACGAATCTTCACACTAGGCCAACCAATGACGTTCAACCGGTGTGGGCAGTTTCGTGTCCTTATTGGTCCTATGTCCTACGAGCCCTTCCACTTGAGTCCAGAACACAATACCAGATTCGAATCAGAGCAGATCGTTTATTTCAGGCATACTTGGTTTATATATCAATCACACAGACCGCAACGTACCATAAAATAGGAAATAATATTTGTACACAAATAAGCCCAAAAAGTGGCTGTGAATGTGGGAGGCAGTAGTTAATAAGCTGAACATAACTTAAGAACCGTAAATCGTACAATAATAAGTTATAGGTCAAAATAAAGCTTATAATAAGAGGAATATAAATATACGTAATGTAATTGTTGAATAATTATACAATAAGAATATTTATAGAATATTAGTCCATTAATAGTCCTCGGGAGTTACCTGTAATTTAATCTCCACTCGGATATAACAGTAACTCAAAAATATTTAAGTTTCCATTTGAATATAAGTTCAATTCTGTATGCTACAGGTACACTCTGTCGACAAATCCTTACAATGACGAGACTTATATTACACTTATACATGTGTCCATGTGAGAGCATTTCGAAAGGGATAGGTGACTGTCCCCACTCTCGGCCGTACCAGGGCATTTGGGGGCTAGATATTATACTCATTAGTTAGTTCATTTGATCTATCTACCTAGGCTGTATGTTTATTTACATCTTGGATCCAAATAGTACATCAGTATAGTTTTTTCTTCATTGAATAGATAATAACGTACTTCTCATGTATGACAGTAGTACATTTGTATCATTTCCGTAACAATGTTTTCAGCAACCCTAGAAATTAGACTCTTTAGCCTATTTTGTCATTTCAGGTTTTGCTAGAATTTTGTACACAGACAATTTTTTTTCCCAAACTGAATTTATAATCAGTTATCCAGGCACAAGAGACCACTTGTATTCAGTATTTTCATAAACACGATAGGTTGATGGGCGTCCTCGTCTTGAGTTTAGCCTGCTATGATCACGACTCCTAATGAATTGTTAAATCTGCCTTAAAAGATCTGTTTTCTCAGTGCATTATCTCCACAACACACTTCTCATTCTTTTGTGGGTTCCCTCGAATTTTCTATTCATCCAGCAGTCATGTATGTATTGATAGTCCTTGACACACAGGTGTAGTCAAACAAAAGAACGTGTTCTATTTTTGTGTGTGGTTTTTTCCTGTTCACCTCGATTTTCAACATTTTTCCAACCGTTTTTATTTCTTTATGTTCGCTTTTAGACATGCTCCGCTTTAGATAATCATCTATCAAAATCAATTAAGATGCTACCGTTAACAACAGAGAATAAACTACACAATGGACCATCTGTTGGAAACACTTACTCAAGTCTTATTGATGATAATCTTGGCATCAATGTCAATCATCATAATAACCAGACTAGTCGATTAAATATCAATCAAGTATCACCTAAACAACACCAAGTCAGTAGTTTAAATACTGTATCACCAGTTCAGGCATCATCACTGTCCAGTACAGATAAAAATCGACAGTTAGCTAAATGGGCAGCTGAACAAATCCGTTTAATCTATATGGTATGTATACTGCAATATTAAATGTAAATTGTACCATGATAATTGATATTTTTATTGATATGTTAATCTGTTTTATCCAATTTCCCTAAATGTCCTCAGAGAAAGAGTTTTGAGATTGATGACTCAGAGGTTTAGTAAGATCACCAGTTTAACCCAACTCTGAAACCATATGGATTTTCCTATAAAGGTACATGAGCCATATTTATTGTAAGCGGGCTTAGGATAGTGCGTTGCCGCTTTAGTAGGTAGAGCGAAATTCACAATATGAACTTATTGGTTAAAATTTGACTTAGTTCATTTCATGACATTGAACTTCAAATGTCCCAACTACACGGTCACAGTGAAGTTTTCAAATGATCACCATTTTGTATATGAACTAGTACTAGTTATTCATTTCCCTTGGGATAGTATTAGACAGTTACGTGAAACATTGCTTAGGATTTCGTAGTACTGTGACATAAACCAAAACATGGCATCAGTGCCTGAAGTCACTCACTTCTAGTCTTAGCCATGTTGCAGACTACTTGGTTGGGGTCCGCGTGACTATCGTAACCAATAGTTGGAGACTCTAAGTGAGATGGCTCAGAATCGATCACAATGACGTAGGTGTATACACTATCTATCTTTCCTTCAACTATGATATTAAAAATGCTTGATATCTTTCTTTCTACGAACTAATTCTTTCTCCCTGTATCATATTCTTCCATAAAGTCTTTCTTTTATATATTACACCATTGAGTTAACTGCTTCTATGAATCCGGTGTTCGTCTTGCTGTGCTAATGAGGTGTGGCAACTTGGACCGATGCATATATATGCCTGGTCCTACGTTATAACTGACTGACTGAGTACTGTGACATATTTACGGCATTTTTGATAATTGATATTTCAGAATTGGCGTTGTTCAAGTTTTTTAATCTCTATTCTCAATTGATGAACTTTTCAACTCTAGTAGAACAATTGACTCAATTTGAAATTATAAAGAAGTAGTGAAACAACTCTTGCCAGTCGACGTTTTACACTTTACAGTCTAATTACCCACTGCATGCATAATAGGCTGATTGATATATGCCATATTTTCAAGGAGAGAGTATTCACAAAGTTTTTCAGCATACTTTTTAATGATAACCATTTCCCCATTAGCCTGTCGGTCAACGGAGTCGAGTGTTGCCTCAAAGTCAAGAAATACTACTGTATTGGAATGTTGATAATTATGCCAATGTTAAAAAATCTGACGAAAGTGATTATTTGGTCAATACACATACATTCAGTTCTTGAACGTCCCTGATTTCCTCGAGTTCACTCTTCATGAGTTAGGTTAGTATTTTAGACACTCAGTCAAACTGAATCATCTGTGGTAATCGTTAGAAGTTTTCAGTTCTTTCTTATAAACTGGGATAGTCAGGAATCAAGACCAAGGTCACCGGTGTTAAACCATCACTATCTCATTCCTTTTACTGTCGCTGCCATACACAGGTCATGGTCATTAGGTAGACTTTTTATCAGTTCACATTGTCGTCATTCTTTATTATTCTTCAAGCCTTACTGGATGAGTTATCAAGCATCTATCAACTCAGTAAATGCTACCAAATTTCACTGATCTTTCTTAACCTTTTTGTTTAATTCAGTGATAAAAAAAATTACTGTACCTACAGCTGTTTGGATCTCGTATTGACTTGTTGATCAACTGAAAACATCATGCACCTGTCTCTACGTAACATCTCAAGGTCAAATGGTAGATGAGAGATGATCAACAAGGAATCATATTGGATGAAGTCAATTGTACACTCAGTCAAAGTTTTAGCTTATACACCTTTGCCTTGGTTCGAGGAAGAGTTGTGTATATTCATATGATTTTTGTAATCATTATTCAGTTTACTAATACTAGGCACTTTAGTCGAATGTCAAGAACAAATTCAGTCTAAAGCAATTTGACATATGCCTTTAAGTCCCACAGTTGTCCAAGCCAATACAAATACATATGGCACAATGAATGAACATTAAAAATGTTAACATCATAATCTAACCTCAGTTTACACCACATCTTTCAATTATATGGTTAATATTCTTTAATTTTTAAAATATTTTGTTTTATTTTCTTTCAGTCTGCCAATACAACTCGTGGTGATTATCATCGTCTTCCGCAACTTGTATCAAATCTACTAAATGTTTCAATCAACAATCTACCAAAAAGCATACTGGACATATTAGTAATCATAAAGATAATCATACTACTAGTAGTAGTTGTAGTAGTAGTAGTAGTAGTAGTAATAGTAGTAGTAATACTAACAATCCAAACAATGTTACAAGTTTTGAGGATACTGTCACTGTTGATAATACTATTAATCCTATTGATATGCGTGTACATAATGATCATAGTGATGATGTTGAAGATGATAGTTGTCATCGAATTGTTTGTGATAAAAAGACCAAATAAGCATATCAACAAATAGTTATTCATCATTTAATATGACAACGATCTCTTTATCTCTTACTATTATTGTAATACATGAATTACTATTCAATGAAGAATTTAATTGAAAGCGAATCTTTCAATAATTTCCCTGTTTGTGTTAGTTCCTTTGAAATAGCAAGACATTTAAAACAATTGTGACCTTTGTGTATAACCTTTGTTCCTCATGTATTTGTATTGATTTATGTTTTTCTTTCCTACCCTTCCTCCCTCCCTCTGCCTCTATTTGCTTATCCCTCTCTCTCTATTTACATCACTTGTTGTAATATTTAAGAAAAGAAAATACATACAAACATTCCATCTAGTAGGCTTGAAATTGAGTAAATAGAACGGTCCACTTCTTGATCGAATTGTTTTTTAAACATTTGACCTTCACCATTTTGTCATCGATCTATGCTTTTTTTTCTTTCTTTTCTTTTTTCCTTACTGTAGTAATTCTTAGACTGTACTTAATATTTCTACTTTGTAAAGTTTGATCGACTTTAAAAAGAATACAAAATGAATTATTTCTCAATGTTATCATAGTTAGTATCTTACTAGATTCCGCAAATGCCGTGATACGACCAAGAGTGGGGAGAGTTAGCTTCCCCTCTCGAAATGCTACGCGTATATAGTCAGTGACAGGGAATTCTTACCCACTCCTTTCTCGCGGCGGGAGTGTTGTTTACGAAATTCAGACGATGAGGAGTGAATGCTCGGCGCTTTAATCGTATTGGTGGATATGAATGATCTTTTAGCATTCTGATTCAGAATTTTTCAAGGAGATATAATTAGATGTCCTTGATAAAATCAGATAATTTGATAGATAATACGAATTAAATATGTCAACGCATCCATAAAATAAAGACAAATAAACAAAAATGAATGTCTGTGTTATTATGGTGATCAAGTTGATTGTTCATGCCACGTTTGAAGCGATTACGAGTTCACCTAGTCTGCGAATGGAACAAAGACTCTGGGACCAAACACCAATAAGCTAGCCAGCACCGCTAACTAGAGAGAGAAGTTTAATTTCGAAACGGGAAAATATATTCCGTAAGCAGCCAGAAGCACGAGCAATAACAATAGGTACAAATCAAACGTATATATATATATATCATAAAATTGTCCGTGGGAAACGTTACAAAATAACCTACTAAAAGATACAACAAACTATAATAGCGTTTAAGATTCTCCCAAGTGGGAAATACAACATGAAGGTGAAAATGAGCGCTTTTGGTAAGAAAACAAAGTAATTCAAATTTTCAAAATAAAAAATTACAAAATAAGGGTATTTACCAAATGAATTCTGGGGATCTAATATCCCCAACAGTTCAACCTATATTCAAGTTAAACTAACTGATTAGAACTAGTTGAGATAACCGTTGTTGTTCTCATAATAAGCGATAGATTAACTACAATAAAATATAAAGAGAAGTTCAAGTTTGCTTGTTAATTATTAGTTGCTGTACGATAGTTAATTGTATTTCATCTCTCTTATTAATACTGTTTGGATTTTCCCCAAATGCTATGGTACGGCCGAGTGTGGGGAGAGTCACTTCTCCCTCTTGAAATGCTCTCACATGGCCACGCGTATATAGCCTCTGCCAGGGAAGTCCTACTCACTGCCTTCTCGCACCACGGGTGTTGTTACGTAAATGAGAGGACGAAAAGCGAATGTCTGGCGATTTAACCAGATCCCAAACAAATGGTGCACATGGGCTCCAGTATCATACGGGAACAAATGGAGTATGAACCAATTGTTGGTCACCGGCTACCATAATACTGCATCTCCTGACGTTGTTCCACTGCCTTGTGGATCACACTTTCAGGTCGAAGGCTCCGAGTGTGGCCACCTAAGAAAACCACCTGCTTCGGTTTAGGCACCCGGGCAGTATCACAGCCCTCACACATATCGAATGAGATTTGTGTGGCGCATATGTATTTGGTGCCTCTTTGTACCAATATCTATGTGTTAAAATAAATAAATAAGAGATTCAGCTGTTAGTCTCTGTATTTTTACGAACTAAAATCTTTCGGTAGGATTTTTGTGCCATTGAAATCAATTGTATGGCCGAACTCTATTGAATGTAATGCAGTTGCTGACTTATTTTCTAGTTTGTTTTTCAGGTCTTTTGAATATTAAGGAATATTCTTTAAGCAACTTTTGTGTTCATTTACATTCAGCTGTTATAATGTCTCACATATAGGGCAGTACAGTCACTATATTTGATCTCATATACACGTTGTTGTTCCTCCACCCTCTGTATTTGGTCTTTGATTCTTACTAGTTTAGGGCTTAGAACATTGTTTGTTTGAAAAAATAATCTTATTTTATGATGAAATGGGACTCCTATGAAGTTCCTTTACGATACGGGATCACTATAGTGTCAACCCATTCTTTTGGCTTCTCTTTATTGTCCTTTTAATCTTTTTTACATCAAGTCCCTAAGATAATTACTCATTATCAAAGTGGATATAATTAAATTCAATTCAGTTTCTCTGCCGATTGATTCAATGACGAGTTTTTAAACTATCGAAATCTTGGCCACTGTCACTTTGATGGAATGCGGACATGTGCTGACTTTTAATCTACATATTTCCCATGTTCACATTCGGGATATATTAGCTGTTATATAATCATTACATTTGCTTTCAACTAAACAGTCCAGAAATGGTGGTTTGTGGTCTACAAATTTCATCTCCTTAGTGAATTTCATGTTTCCGGACATACTGTTGACGTTTTTAAAGCTGAAATATTTCTCTGAAAAGTAAATACTACTGACGTACATTAACAGTAATACACAGATACATTATGGTATTAATGGATTCATATGTTTCTCTGACAATATTGAATGTGTAATCAATCCATTACTATTGTAATACATATTAGTCTCTCATACACATGACTCTCTTCAAGTGACTTCATTCCCAAATGATATTAGCTTATGCTTCATTGAAAGTGCAATCACCTTGTTACGATATTTATATGAAAAAATACCATTAAAGCTAGAAAACGTGGACATAAAAATAACAAAGATAACAAGTAAAACGCAAATCACACTATTCTGGGTTAATAATACTAGTATTTAGTTACCAAAACTCCGCCTGATGATACTGCCGGTGCCAAGTTCGGATAAAGGGGGAGGGTTGGGCATGGGGTTAGCGACCTCATCTCGTAGAAAATTAACTCGCTAACAAACGCTAAACAGAAAAAAAATGATTCAAACCATTTAAACTTTACCTTGGGAGTTAGAAGGTCTTCATTAGAAGAGTTATGACGTCTCATGTTGAAAGCCTAGTTCCTTCGGAATTCTCGAGGCTGATGACCCTTTCTAACAACAAGAGCAACCATTAATTTAGGTACATGGAATTCCAAATTTCGGCGTAAGTTATTGGGTTATAAAGACAGTAAACTCATTTCGAACACGTAAAAGTCGTTTGAATCTTCATATGAGTAAGATTTCAACAATTCGTATTCATATAAATTCACTGTTACATAATACCAAAACGGTCAATTTGTTTTCACTTCTATGACCTGTTTCAATTAAGCGTCTAACCATGAAGGAAGATGGTTATTTATCATGTACTTTTATTGGACAATTAGAATTCTTTTTTTGCCTTCATTCAACCACCCTTACTTGCAAATCATCGCTGTTCTTCCCTATGTATACATGTCGACACATATATAAATGTAGATTGACGAGTGCAGTTTAGTGTGAGATGTTCCTTTAGTTCATTTCATTAAACACATTAGAAAAATTCTATACAACTCTGTAAGTAATAACAATTAAGTCATCTGTAGTTGAAATCATGTTTTAATTAAAGCTAGACCACCATGGAAAACCTATGAGCACTGGACGGCCATTTCGTTCTAGTATGGGACTCCTCAGCAGTGCGCTTCCACGATCCCGCCCCCGGTGAGATTTAAACCATGGACCCATCAGTCTCGCACATGTCCCATACTAGGACGAAACGGCCGTCCAGTGCTTCCAGGTTTTCTATCGTGGTCTAGCTTCAATTGACTCATGATTTCAGATCAAGCTGTAACAGATAGGTTGGGAATAACTTAATAGTAAATCGTATAATGGTAGCCATTAGGTTAAATGAAAGCTTATAAATACATAAGAACTATTGCTATGATTCCAACTGATGAAACATCGAAGTATTGGACAGAGAAAACATGTAGAATTCTAGAGAACGTTTTTGGAATCAGATAATCTAGTAATGCATCAATTAATAGATGCGTTAAAACTGACTCAGTCGATCAACTAGTCATGAAAAAGAATAAAGAATTCTAAAGTCAGAGATCAGGTCAGAAGTGAAAACGGTCTAAACAAACATACGAACGACTGTTGCACACCAATAGATAACAACCAACCAAATTCTAGGTCAAATGAACAAGCAGCTAGTCGATTTGAGAGAAATCCAATTAGCTCATCGAAATATGTACTGATGTTGTTGAGGTTGTCAACCAACGCTTCAGGATCAAATCATCAATCTCAGAGGGTAAACACCATCCATTTTCTAAATTGAGTATTGGGTAGATTATTCATAATAATTAGTCAATAATGCGTTTGTAAAATACCAAATTGAGAAGAAAATTGAATTTCTGGTATTTCGCAATTTAGTGTGAAGTTACTAATACAAGATAATAACTTTCCGTAATTCAATGCTTGAATTCATGAGTCAATTGAAGCTAGATCACGAATGGAAAACCAGGAAGCACTGGACGGCAGTGAACGCCCACGGTCCCGTCTCGCGAGGTTCCAACCCAAGACCTATCAGTCTGGCGTGCGAACGCTTAACCTCTAGAGCACTGAGCCGACCGGCATCTAACGGTGTTAATGTCTAGCTACCAGTCCCTTTTTATATCGCCTAAATCTTTGTTTAAACTCAACAACTTCCATGTTTGTATGCTTTTAGTCACAATTTTAGTTAGTGATAGCTTACTGTTAACATCAGACACAACTAACAGATTTCATTTACGCTTCCAACGCCTTTCCGTTTGCAGACCACAGAAGCGTTTAGGCATTACAGATAACGCATGAGTTGAAGTTCGTAGTAAATTTATGTATGTTCCTTGATAATAGAACTATTCTTTACACAAATTGCGAAGTTGGAAGCTTTCACATAATCCACAATGATAGGTCACCATTTTGCATTCACCTTAAACATCAATCGTTTGCTTCAAATGATTGCTTTCGCAAAAGAAAATTCATAAAGTATCTTCTGGTTTCATACTTCCAATCAGATAGATTCTTTTAAGAATCGGAAGAAATACTGAAACACAAAGTTGTGTCTCTTCAGAACAGAATTTTTCTTGACTACTAAGAAATTTCTTTTCTTTTCAAGCTTTAGTTTTCACATTATTGACATGACGCTAGTTTCTTGAGTTCCTCTTGGAGCTTTTCTTCTACATGTCCCAATTGGTTTGATTACTTGTTTTGTTGAAAAATGTATGAAAAATTGCAAGGATGAACAGCTAGAAGTAAAGTCTGAATATCTTATTTGTTGAGTTGTTGATACAAAA